AAAACAGAAAACAGACTCAAGGGTCAATGGAACAGAGTAAAAGATGCAGAGACAACTCTAAGTGCCTGCAGCCAGCGTACATGTGACGAAGTGGCCAGATAACTTCACTGGGGAAAGACAGCTTCTGTAATACACTGTGCTGGGAAAATGGGCTCTCCACATGCTGACGGATGAAATTAGACCCGCATCTCTCACCAGGCACTGAACTAAAACTGAAACGGATCAAAGATCTAAATATTAAAACAGAAACAATCTTCTGGAAGTTAAAATAGGTAAATTTCTTGCAGGTATTAGTGTAGGCAAAGATTTTATGAATAAAACCCCAATTTTACAGGAACTAATACCAAAAGAATCAACAACTGGGATCTTATTAAAAGCTTTTACACAGCAAATGAGACTACCAACAGAGGGAAAAGACAACTCACAGAATGGGAAAAAATTTGGCTAGTTGTTCCTCAGACAAAGGACGAACATACAAAGAAGTGAAACAAATCAGACCCCCTACTGCCAAATTTAAAGACCGAAATGCAGAAATGGCATCTGAAATGAATATACATTTCTCGGATGAAGAAACACAAATAGCAAATAAGTATATGAAAAAATGCTCAACATCACTGGCCATTCAGGAAATGCAAATTAAAATGATGCTGAGATTCCATCTCACTCTAGAAAGAATGGCTGTCATCAAGAACCAACCCATAACAAATGCTAGCCAGGCTGTGGGAAACAAACGAACCTGTCTCCAGTGTTGGCAGGAGTGTGAAGGGCTGTGGACCCGGGTGTGGAGATGTCCCAACAAACTGAAACTAAAGGTTCCATGTGACTCAACAATTTCCCCGCCTGGTATTGCCCCAAAAGATTTAAAAGCATCTACCACAGTGTTATCTGCACACCCATGCTTATAGCAGCACCATTTTTTTTTTGTCTTTTTCCTTTTTATCGGTACCAGGGATTGAACTCATGACTGCCTGCTTTCAAGGCAGGCGATTATGCTGCTGAGCTAAACCCCCAGCCCCAGCAGCACCATTTGTTAACAGCTAAATCTTGGAAACAGCCAAGAGGCCCATCATTAGATGAATGGATAAAATACAGTTTTTTGGGGACTTCCAGGAGAACATGGCGGACAGATAGCAGATACTACGGAGGCTCTCTGAAAGGCTTGGTTCAGAAGTCAGGAATGGTGCGGACTAAGGAGACATAAGCCGGTGGATATATGCTCTGCTGACTCAGGAACGAACTGGGCTGAGAGAAGCCAACTTGGAATGCAGTCCTGGTGCTAAAACAGGAACAGAAAAGCCTCGGTGTGGAGGCTGGACCCCGCACCATTGGAAGCCGCGATTTGGGTTTCCCGCCGCACAGCAACTGCCTCTACAGCGGCTCCGCAAGGAGAGAGACGCACGGAAGCTCTGAGAATGGAAGTCTGCGAATGGAGTCGAAAACAGGACGGGCAGGGAGGCGTACACTGACTTGTGGTGAGGTGAGTGAGAGAAACTGACACTCTACCACAGTTTGACTCCAGTGGAGGACTTTCTGGGCTCAGGCAGTCCTGCGGGAGCAGGGCGCGGTGGCGACTCCAGCCACACATTCCCCTCTCAGACGGGATTGGTGAAAAGTGCCTGGCCTGCGTGAGGCTGCTGGCGGACTCGGTAGGCGGGCCTAACCCAGATCCCAGAGCCTGACGGTGGCCCGGAGGGGTGACTCCCGCGTAGGCTGCCTAGTCCGTAACTCCCTGGTGCGCTGCGGTGGGCGGGAACACCTAGCCAGCGCAATTCGATCAGGCTGTGGCTGACAGGCAGGGAAGCTGGGCCTCCTATGTAAGCTTGCGTATATAAGGAACAGAGAATATGGGAAAAGGCAGCAACAAGAAAGGCTCCTCGGCCCCCAATTCTGAGAAACAGGCAATAGCGGACACCGCACCAATAGACATAAAGCGCCATATAGAGAGCCTCATAGACCAATTCAGGAATGAAGTTATCAACGACCTGAAGCTAGAAGTATGCAGAATAGTTAGAGAAATGCTAAGCACCACCCAGGAAAAAACAGATGGTGGAATGGAAGAACAGAAAAAGAGGGGAGAATTGTTTGATGGAGAAAACAGAGAAAGCATAGAGTACGTGAAGCAGGTTCAAAGGGACTACCAAGAAACTAAGAAGTCTATCCAAGACTGCCATAACAGCTTGAAAGAAACTAAGGACAGACTATCTGAACTGGAGGGCAGACTTGTAATATGGGAGAATGAAATGAAAAACTTCTTAAAAATAACAAAGAAACAAACAGCAATAATACAAAGACAAGAAGATGATAAGAGGAGCCATAACTTAAGGATTAAGAACATAAAAGAAGAAGTAGGGACACAAACAAGTGAACTACAAAAGCTACTCACAGAAATAATCCAGGAGAATTTTCCTAATTTAGCAAAAGGTAAAGATACTCAGATGTATGAGGCATACAGGACCCCAGCTACCTACAACCCAAACAGAGCAACACCCAGGCATATAATAATAAAAATTCCAGAAATTCAATACAAGAACAGAATATTAAAAGCTGTCAGAGACAAGAAACAGACCACTTACAAGGGAATACCCATCAGAATTACAGCAGATTTCTCTGCACAAACCATCAAATCACGAAGAGTGGGGGGGGGGAAATAATTCAAGCTTTGAAAGATAATAATCTCCAGCCAAGATTGAGATATCCTGCACAACTGTCCCTGGAAATTGATGGAAAAACAAGGTGCTTCCAGGATAAAGAGGAACTGGGGGAATTTGCAACCACCAATTCAACTCTACAGAAAGTATTTCAGGATATTCTAAAAAAAGAAAAATACAAAGAACCCAGAAATAGTGGCGGGGAGGCCACAATGAATGGAGCAGAGAACAAAATGAAGAAGACAAACTGACAGCTACTGACAGAAAAAGAGCTCAACAGAAATGAGACAGAGAAGATTGGATGATAGGAACAGCTATTTTGGAGAAAATGACATCTTAATAGGTAATACTGATTTAGTATCATCTTGTTTTGAAGTCTCATCTAGCTTTTGTTCTTCTGCCTCCAATGGTCTAAATAGGTTGTATCTTATTGGATTTTATTATGTACGATAGTATAAGCAAAAACCTTTTAAAGACAAGGAGATTATACAGAAAACATTGTTCATTTTCTGTTAGTCGATTCTAAATACTCTGTAATGCTGTCATTCTCTTAAATGGTTTTACATTGTTTTGATATACTTAATGCTACAGTATACGAAGTTGTACTCAAGGACTTCAAGGAAAGAGTCAATACGGTAACTACTTTTGGGTCGGAATTATCTGGTGGTGAAACACTATTCTGCTTAAATGGTTATGTTTTGATCTGCGCTGTTTTGCTGTTATGCCCTCTTTTATCTCAATCTCCACTCCGTTATTTACTTTTTTATTTTTATCCGTTTAATTAAAGGGAAAAAATAGTAGGATATATTATAGTAACCCACTTTGACTTTCTATTATCTCGATTTGAAGCCCTGTATTACTCTCACCATCTTGTTTTTGACTGATGTTCCCCTATTCTGTTTTGCTGGATAGTATCAGGTTCGAAAGTTTAGGCATCAGCTGTGAAGATAATGAGATTCATTATAACGCCCATTCTCGTTGACTTTTATCTACTTTTGAAGACCTACAATGTCTCCAATGGTTTGATTTTGTCGGTTTTGTTCTTTACTGTTTTGTTCAATTGTATTATAACTAATGATATAGGCAATTCTATTAGAGATAGCGGGAGGCATTATGGTAACCATTGTTGGTCACCTTGTATTATGTCTTTACATTATCTATTATGTCCACCCTTTGGACTTGACCGATTCTGTTCTGTTATGTCACATCTGGTTTTACTCTCTTCCAAAAAAGCAATAAGAACCGTGGGAGCAATGAAACCCAAAATGTGTAATAGTCATGGTACAAAAGAGAGGAAAAGAAAGTGCTCTAAACTATATAACTGCATGTATATTTAAGTGTATAAGATAGAAAATGATATCACAGAGTTTTATTGGATCATTGAACAGAACTGTTTGCAGTATCATTGTTGGAATGTCCACTCTACAAGCTTTAATTTTGTGACTTGAACAATTATTTCTAAGATGGCAATATGTAATCCATTAACTAGTGATTTCCTACTGTTCATTTTTTTTCTGTAAATCTATATAACTTGTACCCTTTCACTGTTTTTTTTTCTTTTCTCCTTAAATAAAATTTTAAAAAATAGTTTTTTATACAGTGGAGTACCACTCTGCTACAAAGAAGGATATGCTTGAGACGTTTCTAACTAAATGGATGCACCTTGAGAACACACTTTTAAGTGAAACAAATTGGGCACACATGTATAAACGCCACAGTTTCTCTTGTGTAAGAAATGAAAAGCACAAGCAAGGACCAAGATAGATGTTAGATACTGAGAAACAGGAGGAAAATATTCAAATGGCAAGGGGAATGGAAGAAAGGGAAAAGTAAAAAAAGGCTAGAAAGAAAAAAGTGGAAACAAAGTTTTGCAAAGAAGGAGAGGAAGAAGGGTTGAAGAGAGGCAGAGGAATTGAGAAAAAAAGAAGAATCAAGATATATCATGTACAAGTACCAGCTCCCTATGATGAATGTGATTATTATATGTATCCAAAGTGCATCAATAAACCAGGCGTGGCAGTGCACTCCTGTAATCTCAGCACTGGAGAGGCTAAGGCAAGAGGATCCTTGTGAGTTCGAGACCAGCCTGAGCTACAAAGTGAGCTCAAGGCCAGCCTGACTGGCATAGCAAGACCTTGTCTCAAAAAGACAAAATATACATATACTTTATAAAGTACAAAACAACCTCAGAATGTAACAGGAGCCCACAGTGCTTGCAGCCAGGGAAATCTGATCAAGTGCCACACAGAATTCAACCAGTGCGATTTGCCACACTCACACACACACACACACACACACACACACACCCTGCTGCCATGCGGTGGCTGGCTGCGCCTCCCCCCCACCGCCCACCTGTCGAAGTGCTGCTTCATCTGTTTACACGCATAGAAGCCCCCGTCTCGCAGGCTCTGCATCTTCAGGACTTCCGAAAATGTCCCCTCTCCTATCTTGCCAATTGCTTTATAATCTGGAAGAAAAAGCAGTTAGAAAATAAACTTCCCCTGTGTACATGGGGAACGTTCACTGCCCAGAGCGCACCTGCTACATGCCAGATGCCTGCCAGTGCACTGAGCATGGGCCTGGGCCTGGACAGGCGACTAGTTGCCTCCTGTGGCCCCTGAGCTGTGTTCCCAACTCATCCCCAGGCCTGCAGGACCCCTGCTCATCTGCTGTACTTTCATGCTCTCAAAAAGCCAATGGAGGGGACTGGATGTAAACACACACAAATCTTTGCATTCGCAGCAGGAGAGATGCAGGAGATTTTAATGTTCTTTGATGTTCTTTTCTACATCGCTCAATTTCATAATTAATGTAGGTTAGCTTAAATGTAAAGGTGGGCACTTCAGGAATAAGACATGGGCAGCCTTGTTGGTGAGGTGCCAACGGTGGCAGGCCAGCAGCTGAGGAAGCAGAGCAGATGGCGCTCCCAGGATGACGAGCCCAGGGCTGCAGGGCGCAGTTGCCCAAGAACCTGGACTCACCAGGAGACAGATCTCACACAAGAGACTCCAGTCTGCATTTCATCACACATCAGACAGGCTGGCCTGCTTGGAAGAAAAGTCGGCCAGCCTCGACCCTGCCCTGGCGAAGCGCAAACTCGGCTCGGGGCACGGTGGCAGCAAGTGGGGCTGCCGCCCATGCTGGCTGGGGTGCGCTTAACTGCTTCCCGTGCAGTGCCAGAAGTCAGGACATCTGGGAAGTGACACAAGGGTGACAGGGACAGGACAAGAAAAGTGATCCCCTGAGAAGAGTCCCTGCTGTCATGCAGGACCTGGTCCCTCGCCAGGTGTGAAAGAGATGCGCAGAGTGCACAGAATCCTGCCACAAGCTCCCAGGGCTCGGACAGACCTGAGACAGGAGATGCCGTACGGGCCACATGGGCAGGAGGAGTCATGAGCCCATGGAGGCTTGCTAAGCTCGCTGAGCATCCGTGCAGGCTGAGGGTGCCAGGTGGCCGGTGGATCTGGAGCCTTGTTTAACCTGAGGATGGAGCTCAGGTTCCTGCAACCTTCCTGCAACCCCAACAGTAGGCAGGTTCAAGTGCAGGCATGGTCACAGGCAGCTGCCTGTGAAGCCCCGAATCAGGCAGCGGGAGGAAGGGGGGACTGCTGAGCGTACCTGGGGTCTACCTGCAAGAGCAGCTGCCTTTCTACCTCACACTCTGTGGGATGAAACAGCTCAGGCCCCATAAATGTGTGGGGACCCTCAACAAGGAGTGGGGACCCTCAACTGGGAATGGGGTATCCAATGCAATACTTGGCAGAGGGAGCAAAATGGGGACCCGAACTACCAAACATTGTGCAAACACAAAGAACACTATTATTCTAAAATGTGTAAAACTCAAAATTTAAATCACGCCTATTAGTCCAGTAGCCAGTGCTGGGGACACAGCCCCTGACACACTTGCTGGGCTCCTCAGGGTCTGATACACAGGCCCAGCAAACCCGGTGTGTGGCACAACCATGCTCAGGGAGGGTGTTTGTGTGTGTCTGTATCCGGAGGTACACGGTAATCCATGCACATGTGCTGCATAGAGGCCCACGGCTGATCATCTAAGAAATATTAATCAGAACGGACTTGCTATGAGTAGGGGCAGGGTCCAGAGACCAACTCCAGACCTACTGATTTGAAATCTCTCACAAAGCCAGTTTTGCTTTTAATTTGGTTTTAAGAGAAATTTGGTTTGCTACTTATATAAAAAGAAGGTGAGATGCACAGTGGGAAGGAGAAGATGGAAAAAGATTATCTGACATTACATGCCACTTTGATGCTATGACAATACTGACATTTAAAAGATTCAAAGGACACAGGATCCTGCCCCAAGCTGCAGGGGATGGTGGCTCACACTTAGGAAGCTGAGGCAGGAATGCTGTCGGTTCAAAGCTAGCCTTGAACAAAGTGAGACCTTGTCGAAAAAAAGAGACAGACATAGAAAACAGAGACCAAGACCTCAAACTTCAGTATAATTACAACAGATAATTTTTTTTCTTTTTCTCTTTTTTATCGGTACCAGGGATCACACTCATGACCGCCTGCTTGCAAGGCAGGTGCTTATGCCGCTGAGCTAAATCCCCAGCTACAATAGATAATTTTATAAAAATCTCTGTGATATGATAACAAACTGTCACTGCATTGAATATGTGCAGATTTTCTTTTTTATGTTTAAATAGTCCATTAAACAGTTCAGAAAGGACAGGGATATAGCTCAGCAGCATAGCACCTGCCTGCAAGTGTGAGGTCCTGCGTTTGATTCCCAGTACCTAAAAAAAAAAAAAAGTGCAGAAAGAAAAAAAAATCAGTAGTTAAACTATGTTAGATAGCTAAGAATAGAACCGATAGTTTTTGGTTTTTGCAACAGGGTCTCACCATATAGATCTAAAAATAAAAAGAGTATAAAAGATTTTAAAAGCCAGGGAGAAAAGGAGAAAGTAATCTTCTATAGAATGATCAAGGCATCCCTAAATACATAGGCACTGTCTAGAAAACATGTAACCAAGTAAATCCAAAAATCCTGAAATAAAGATCAAAACAGTAATCTAACACTCCAAGCCCCACTCTCTCACACCCCAAGCTATGGGTCTAATTACTCCATTGCTGTCTTCCTGTTCCTTCTACTTCCACAATTCTGCCTCTGTGACTTCTTGTTCTGAAATGCTCTGTCTTGTTAGCGATTTGTAAAAAATTTAATTAACTGAGGGGCTGGGGATTTAGCTCAGCGGCATAAGCGCCTGTCTTGCAAGCAGGTGGTCATGAGTTCGATCCCTGGTACCAATAAAAAGGAAAAAGAGAAAAAAAAAATTTAATTAACTGTCAGCATTTAAGCCAGAGGAGTAAAAGGTTACACTAGTTCTGAGTTTTAAGGTAGAAAGAAGACAGGCGAAATCAAGACGTCATCATTAAGTCAAGAAAATTACCAAAACAATTTTCTAAAAGAACATGTCAAAGCTGAGCATGGTGGCACACATCTGTAATTCCAGCACTCAGGAGGCTGAGGCAGCAGGATTGCCAACCTGGGCTACATAGTGAGTTCAAGGCCAGCCTAAATTGCATAATGAGACCCTGTCTAAAAAAAAAAAAAAAAAAAAAAAAGAAAGAAAGAAAGAAAGAAAGAAAAATAAACATGTTTAACAGGGCATGGAGGCACACATCTTTAATCCCTGCACTTGGGAGGCTGAGGCAGGTGGATCATTGAGTTTGAGACCCCCCTGGGCTACAAAGTGAGCTCAAGAATAGCCTGAACTGCATAATGAGACCTTGTCTCAAAAAGACAAAAAAATACTAAATAATATCTGGTATCTCAAACATCATAAAAGTGTGAACAATATAAATCATAAAATACAAGTTATATATACATATTTCTATAGTATACCTACAGGTGATGCTAACAGTACCTTGGAAAGGTGGAGGCAGATACACATTTACACATGAACAGTTACATACAGAGACACACACTTTGAGAAACTGCCAAGAGTGGTTGTCTCTAAAGAATGGAGCATGAAGGGTCCCAAAGGCATGATGCATAGATCCACACAATGATCAATCACACTTTACCCAAACTGTGATGCAGTGATGGCAGGTACATTGTAAAGAGACACTGGCAGGGACACATCACCCGATATATTCCTTATGAAACACATAAACTAAAACTAATCAGCTGGGTGTGGTGGTGCACAGCTGTAATACTAGCACTCGGAGGCTGAGGCCAGAGGGTCACCTTGAGTTTGAACCCAGCCTAGATTACATAGTGAGACCCTGTCTCAGAGAACCAAAAACCAAACGACAAAACAAAACTCTAATTATAAGGAAATAATCAGATGAATATAAATTGGAAGAGACACTCTGTAAAATACCTGACCTGGATTCTTTAACATTATTGTTTCACATTACAGGAGATCAAAAAATGCTTTGTTTTGGTCTTTTGAAACAGGGTCTCTTGCTATGCAGTTCAAATTGGTCTTGAGGTCACTCTATAATCCACAGTGATCTCAAATTTGCATCAGTTCTCCTGTCTCAGTCTCCAAAGTGCTGAGATAAAAATAAATAGGCCAACAGGGGCCAGGGATTTAGCTCAGTGGCTCAAGCATGTGTCTCGTAAGCTGGAGGTGGTGAGTTTGATCCCTGGTACCAAAAAAAAAAAAAAAAAAAAAAAAAAAAAAAATTTCAAGGTCAGCTTCAACAAATCAGTAGTAAGACTCTCTCAAAAAATTAAAAATTAAATAGATGTAGCTCAGTAGTACAGCATCTTTGGGTTTGGTCCCCACTAGAAAAAAAAATGACAAAATAATGCATGAAATTGAAGGATTTATAAACATTCAATGTACTCTTCCTGCAACTCTACACATGTGAAAATTTTCAAAGTAACTATCTGGAATAAAGGGACCCAGTACAAAATGTGTAACAGTGCAAAGCTTTGACCAGATCTTGTATTCCAACCCCAGCATTATGTATGTTAATGAAAAAGATAAACATTTAAACACACCCAACAGGAGAAAATAAAAATGTATGTAAAGGGTAAATGAGATAAATTATTTTAAATATGTTATGCAATTTATAGCATAAGCGAATGACAATTAGGAGACAAGGTGAGTTTAGCATCACATCTCTACTGAATATAACCTTTTCTGAGCCAAGGCGGCCGGGATTTTTCCGCACCTCTGGCTAACAAACATAAATGACAACTGTCTGTCTAGCAACGGAAAACCTAACGGACCCCGCTAGCTAGTGCACTTCGGTCGTCAAAACCCTAAACCCAACAGTAGGTGAAATGTGTTTCCGTTCCTTTGACAACCTCAATTCCCAACTGTCAGTAACTTCTTAATTTCCTAAAAGGTTGCCTCAAAAGTTCCTATAAAACCACGACTGCTTGATCCAAAAAAATAGCAAAAAGCGCACGGCCAGGCAAAGAGGCTCCCGGCGAGCGCTCAGCACGCACTGCTGAGAGTTCAAGGAAAGAACTTTAGTCGATGCAACGTTAAAAAAAAGAAAAGAAAAAAGTCGGGGGGGTTAGCTCAGCGGCTCCAGCGCTTGCCAGGTAAGCGCGAGGTGAGTTCAATCTCTGGTACCAAAAATAAATAAAAAGTAAAAAAGAAAACTCACAACTCCCAATCTCCCGCGTCTGGACGCCGCACCCAAGGTGCCCGAGCCCCGTGCCCGCGCCCCAACCGCAACGCAGCCCCCGCCCGGGTCCCGTCCCGGCCGCCCGCTCCGCCCCGCAGGCCCCGCCGGCGTGGTCCTTCCTTGCCCCCACTCACTCTTCATCCTGGCACGGGCGTGGACGCACCCGCTCGCCCACTGTGGACGCAGAGAAAGGGCAGCAGGGAGGCGCCTGGCCTCCCGCGTCCCTCAGGCTGCTCCCCGTTAGGACTTCAGCGGCCGCGCCTCAGGACCGGCATCAGACGCCTGCCGCCATATTGTATTCTTGTCACCCTAGCAACCGTCAGGCCCCGCCCACCGGGGGGGATGCCAACCCACGCGTGCGCACATATCCTGCCTGTGCCTACCTCCGAGTGTGGTGCAGTCGGCTTCTTCTACAAGGTTGCTAAGCAACCTTGGGCTGCTTTGACTCTAAATACAGTTTCGGGCCTTCCAGAGTAGGCGACCTTGGCCTGACTCACTTTCCCAGTCATCCTGGGAATTTGGCTATTTGGAGCCCAAGTAAGTGTGAACAATAGCCTTGAGCTCTGACTGGCTCGCGAGTTGTCACACTCATTGACTCCTGTCCCTTGTCTCATCCTGCAGTTGAGCACTACCAGTTTGCTACGTAGTGGTGACTGGCCACTAAATGTTTAAGCGTTTTTTTCAATCAGCAAACATTTATGTTGGCTCAAACACTGTTGAAGACACTGGGGATACAAAGAAAGAGAGTCCACACGATTCCTGGCCTCTTGAGGCTTTCTTTTCTTTCCTTTTGTCTTGTTTTCTTGAGACAGGGCCTCATTGCGTAGTTCAGGCTGGCCTCGGCAGAGACGTACTTTCTAGCATACACTTGAAAGAATGCGGAATGAACTACTGTGCATGCCAAAGTGAGCCTTCAGACCCTGGCAGTGAACGAAGTAAACGACCATTCATTTGGTTTCCTTACATCTTGGTGAGATCGGATGTCCCTCCTTTTTCATTTTGTTTTTTGAGGGTGAAACAGTTAAACGTGTTTACTGCAGAAGGAGAAGTAGGAGGAGAAAGAAGGAAGGAAGAAAGGGAGGGAGGGAGGAAGGAATAAAGGAGAAAAGAGATGTGTGAAATGTGAAATAATTCTCTCAAGTTCTTTATCTCAGAGGCAGGCTGAGGTACTGGGTCTTGGGGGTTCAGGAGAACGGAGGCCACGTGTAGAACTGACGATTGCTGGTTCCCAAAATATGTGCAGCGTGAACTAGCAGTGGTGGGTCCCTGAGCCGAGCCAATGCTAATGCGGCACCCCAGGCCATGTTACAGGAACTCCTGCATGCATAGTAGGCATAGAAGGGCATGGAGCTCTCTACAGCACAGTCTAGAAGGGCCAGTATCAAGGACCTGGCCAAGATCCCCAATCTCCCAAAGTGTACAGAGAAGGCTTAAATAAATGAGAACTGGTATGATTTTAGGGCTCTAAGGAGATCAAAACCCTATAGCAGAATTTGACACTCAGGGGACTGAGACAAAGAACTTCTCCGGGCCACCCATATTTACTAGGTTTTCAAATAAAAGCAGGGATCCTGAGAAAAGCGTGGGAACTGAGTAGGACCTTGGGAGTCACGTCAAAGACTGCTCCAAGTAGTAAGTCATGCTGATTTAGGAGAACTGTCATCTCCAGGTTGACATCTATGGCAGGACCGGGACAGCAGGAGTGAGATGCCAGCAACTACACTATCTACCTGGGGTTGGAGCCAGATGCCCTCAGCTGTGGCTTTATCTTGCCCTTGAGGTATCTCTAGCTGCACAGGTCTCAGCCAGGGCTTGAGATATAGCTCAGCATCACAGCACCTGCCTGGCAAGTGAGAGGTCACGAGTCTGAATCCAAGTACACACACACAAAAAGAACATGGCTTCTCATTCGCTGACTTCAGCACAGGGAGGCACTTGTGCCCTGTTATGTGTAAAATGTTACATTTATATACCCCCCACCTCTGAGGGGGTAGGATGTGGGGAGCCACTCCAACTGCTTCAAAGCTCAGAGGATAAGATACCATCAACACAAAAGCGACACAGTGTGACTTGGCCCAGGTGGCCAGGTCCTGGGCCACTAGGCCATGACACAAAGTTGGGTTATGCAAATAGTCCTGGGGCAACATCTGGAAAATCCATTCCCTGCCCTCCCAGGTGAAGGCAAATTGGCTTCTGCATGGGCCACACTGAAGGGCTCTCTGCAGGACGCATCACCCTTGCTTTTTGCAATTTCTTTCTTTCTTTCTTTTTTTTTTTTTTGTCTTTTTCCTTTTTATTGGTACCAGGGATCGAACTCACGACTGCCTGCTTTCAAGGCAGGTGCTTATGCCACTGAGCTAAACTCCCAGCCCCTGCTTTTTGCAATTTCAAGACAGTCTGTCTGTCTGTCTTTTGCTTCACGACCTCAGGCAGTCGCTGCTGCTTCACACAATTCAAGTGGCTGGGAGAGGAGAGTCAGCGGTACAAGCTATGGATTCCCTCGGACTACAGTTTCTTTTTTTCTTTTTTTTAATTTTTATTTTTTTGTCTGTTTCGTTTTTTATTGGTACCAGGGATCGAACTCACGACCGCACACTTGCAAGGCAGGTACTTATGCCACTGAGCTAAATCCCCAGCCCCCGGACTACAGTTTTTACTCTGAGAATTCACAACTGGAATTCTCCCTGCGCGGTGTGGAGCCCAGCAGCAGTCAGTGTGTCCACTCCCAGCATGAATTCAGCAACCAGGGAACCATGAGCATTGTACAGGCGTAGGCCAGGCACCCAGCACCCAAATTCACCTGGGCTGTTGGAGACCACCACAAAGTGGCTCTGGGCAGGATTTAAAATGAATTCACTGACTTTCTGTGTTCATCTGTGAGTCAGTCCTAGGCCTCAGTCCCTTGCCTGGTGATGGGCGCTGACTCACAGTCAGTGAACCTCCATGAATCATGTCCCGGCTTCTGCTGGCCCAGAAGGGAGGACCCAGCACCTAGGAAACGCTAGACAGAGTTTCCTTCCCATCCTCAGGTCCTGCCTGGCCAGCACTGTGGAATCTCTGCCCCTACAACTGCCACAGAACACATTTCTGGTTGGCTTGTTTGTTTTTAGTACTGAGAATTGAACCTCACTGAGCTACATCCTCAGCACCTTTGTGTATTTATTAATTTGCATTTTGAAACAGAGCCTAGCTAAATGGTTCAGGTTGGGTTGAACTTCCAATCCTCCTGCCTCAGCTTCCTAAGTATCTGGTTTATAGGCCCACTGATTTGTGATTCTTACCACTAACTCTGATAGTGTGGAAATGTGTGTTTTCTTAACCTAAAAAATGAACATTAGCACGTTTGTAGGAGGTGCTGAGCCAGTTAGGCTGAGTCAGGGGAGGGCCTGAGCCCAGAAAGTGGAGGCTAGTTAATTTCTCTACTTGGAGGCTGAAACAGAAGGATCAAAAGTTTCGGTCCAGCCTGGGCAACATAATGACCTAGCAAGATCTTACCTCAAAAACAAAAAAAGGGCTGGGGGTGTAGGTCAGTGAAAAGGCCCTGGCTTCAATTCCCAGTACAAAAAATTAAAAATTAAAATACAGGGCTGGGGATTTAGCTCAGCAGCATAGGCACCTGCCTTGCAACAGGAGGTCGTGAGTTCGATCCCTGGTACCGGAAAAAAATAAAATAAAATAAAATAAAATTAAATTAAAATACATTAGGAAGATGGGCCTAGCAAAGGACCGCGCGGCTGTCCAGGATTGCGGGCGACCTCTGGCGTCCACGCTTAGTCACTGCGCCTCGCCTAGCGCCTGAATCTGGATTAGAGCGGGCACCTTTGCAGCTGGCACAATCACAGCGCTGAGTACGGTCCTGAGTGAGGGGAGGCTACAGACCGGTACCCGTGCTGGGCTCCTCCTCGGGCAGAGACCACTGTCAACAAATAAGGGGGCGGGCGGGAAAGGTGAGGTAAGGGGCGCAGAGACTTGGAGGAGCCAAGGATGGACCCGGGGTGTTGGGCGCAGCAGGTCCTTTAACTCCCGCCTCCCTCTGGGGCTGGAGCTGGACCCAGCCCTGTACTGTTTCAGTCTGAGTCTGGCCCAAACAGCGCACCGGCTGCTTACACTCAGAAATGCTTTGAGCCAGTCATGGCTCCCAGTTCTCTGGGAGGCTGAGGCAGACACATCTGCAATTCCAGCACAGAATGGGCAATTTAGCAGACACTGTCTCAAAACAAAAGGGCTTCACTGTGTGAAATCCAATCCAATTTTAGGTGGGCTGCCTGACTGTTCATTTGCCAAACCCGATCAGTTTATTAGGCACAAGTTAGAAGGCATGGAAGCAGGGGTGTTGAGGGTTAGGAACAATCCTATCTCACTTGGTGAAATGTGAGCCAGCTGGATGTGCTGGTCCGGGACTGTAATCCTAGCACGTGGGAGGCTGAAGCAGGAGGATCTCAAATTCTGAGCCCAAAGACAGACCCTGTCTCAAACTTTAACAACATTAACTTTTAATCACTGAGATGCGAGCCGGCTGGGCCTGGGCTCAAAGCCCCAGCTGTGCAGGAGGCTGAGCAACAGCACTGCTGGAGCCCAGGAGTTCAAGGCCAGACAGCGAGGCAACAGACAGCAAGGTCCCTGCCTGAAACAAAGTGTGGGATGATTTTCGGACTCCTGTATCACCCATTTGACTCTGGTTTATTGAGCACGCGCTGTGCCCATCCGTTAGCTCTGGGCATTAGGCTGTGAACAGCTTTTAGTAGGGAGGACTTTACTGCCTCAGCCTTGTTGTTTACTGGATTCAGCCTTGTTGGGGACACAGGCGAAGGCAGCTGGCTTCCAGAAGCCTCCCAGCACGGCAGAGGGACACTCCGCACAGCGCCTTTATTTATTTATTTATTTATTTGAGAGAGTCTCAAACTCGCGGCTGGAATCCTCCTGCCTCAGCCTCCTAAGTGCTGGTTTTTCAGGCCCTGGCAAGTGGAGAGGAAAGAGAACAAAGAGGAGCAGCTGTGTGCGGTCCAGGCACTGAAGCCCGCACCAGGAGGATCCAGCCATTCCTCCCCTCCGGGTGTGCTCAGGGCGAACGGAGGCTCAAGGGCAGAGCGCAGGGTGGGGGCGCGCTGGCGCACACCAGTCATCCCAGCAGCTGAGAGGCTGAGGCAACAGGGTGACCGCGAGGTCCAGGCCAGGCTGGCTACATAATGGGCTTCGAGGCCAGCCTGGACTACATAACGAGACTGCTCAAAAATCTAACAAAAAGGAACGCGAGCAGGATGAGCCGGGCCGCCCCTAACAGCCTGCGGACCCGCAAGACCTCCGGCCAGCTCCAGGCGGACGCCGATCGCCCCGGCGACAGCGCCGGAGCCCCGGCCCGCGCCTCCCCTACCCGGCCTCGCGCCTGCGCCGCCCGGAGCGAAGCCGGAGGACTGCGGGCGGTGGAGCAGCTCACAGGCGATCCCGCAGCCAGGACTCCTAGTGGCCGGTTAGCTCAGTTGGTTAGAGCGTGGTGCTAATAACGCCAAGGTCGCGGGTTCGATCCCCGTACGGGCCAGGGTGTTTTTTTTTTTTCTTTTATTCATTTCCCAACTGTTTAAAAAGTACTGCATTTCGATCCCACAAGCGGCGTGTGGAAAAACATCTCCGCTGCACTCGGCTGGGAAGTCGCTCCAGGCGCCCGATGAGGACCACGGGGAGGGGCTGTCTGTGCCCACGTCCATTTCCGGGCCTCTTCGGTCGCACAGGCAGCCTCCAGCCTGGCAGGAGGTGCCGCACAACCGAGGCAGTCTCTTAGATGACACTGTCAGGGGCCCCGGTCGTGGGACCTCTGTGTTGGCGGAGCCCTCGGAGGTGGCAATCCAGAGCTGGAGTAGACGCTGAGTCCCACAGAGTGGACTTGAATTCACCATTCTCCTGCCTCAGCCTTCTAGGACCCTGGGATTACAGGTGTGCGGCCCCACCACCGGTGCCTCCCTCCAACCACAAATATGGAAATTGAAATTGGGGATTTCACAGTGGGTTACATTTCTAGTCCTTTAAATTCATTTTATTTTATGATTTGATTTGATTTTTTTTTGAGATAGGGCCTCACAGTGTAGCCCAGGCTGGTTTAGAACTCTCAGAAATCTCCTGCCTAGTGCAGGGATTACAGGTGTGCACCACCATGCCCAGCTTAATTTAATTTTTTTTCTAATTTTTTGTATTATGAGACAGGATTTTGCTAAATTGCTAATCGCCCAGGCTGGGCTCAAACTTGGCAATTCTCCCACCTCAGCCTCCCAGAGCGCTGCAACTGCAGGCGTGCTGCTGTTTGTGTGGTGTGAGGCCTCTGGCTGCCCAGGTGTCTAGAAGCCTCCCGCCTTTTCCTTCTGTTCCTTTGTTTTCAGTGAAGTCTCAGGCTTCATGTTTGCTTCTCTTGATTCTGCCTTTTGTAGTTCAGGGGCAGAGGCTGAGTCTGGCTGCAGGCCCAGGCCCAGGAGGGCAGGAGTCTCACCAAAGCCACTTCTCAGGGTGCAGGTCACTAGCATCAGTGCCCGATGGGCTGGGGGTCTGGCATCTACGGTGCAAACTGTGCTCCTTCATCCATCGAGGTCTGCCCTAATTCTCAAACTTGATCGGTTTCCCACGTACTGCCAAGCTGTGTAAATGCTGCATGGTGGCACCCAGATGATTTCGAGCGAAAGGCATAAGAGCATCCGAAGCCCAGCATCTGCTGCAAAACAGAGCCCCGGAAAAAATCAGCAGAATCAGGCCACGAACCCCTGCTGCAAGTGGCTGAGGAATCAGTGGGACCAAGAGGGCGGCCCCACAGCTCCACAGACACCCTCGCTTTTGTCCTCCCTTCTCCATTGTTCTCCGTCTATTTTACTACAATGGCTATTACCAGCAGAGTGTGACAGGGCCCGCCTGTAACCCCAGCTACTCAGGAGGCTGAGGCAGGAGGATCACAAGGTCTAGGCCAGCCTGGGCAATGGAGCAAGGCTGAGTCACAGTGCAAGAAAGGCCAGGAATGTGGCTCATTGATCAATCACTCCTGGGTTCAATCCCCAGTACCAGGGGTGGGGTGGGAGATGGGTATGGCGTCACTCCACACTCTAACCACCTCCCGCGTCTCATTTCTCTGTGCACTCTTTTATGCACATAAAAAAGCATGACTACATCGTGTCATTGCTCTTTGGATTCTGTCTTCTGTCAGTTTAATTTGAAGGCTTGCATTCTAGGAAAGGTATTTTTCTCTCCATGTGCTCAAAAGATGATAACAGGTACCATAGGTCAGATGATGGGAGTGGTCCTAAGCTTAGGGATGGTGAGGACTGTTGTTATGTCTGAGGTTGGAAGAGCCAGAGAGTTTTCTTTCAAAATTAGAAATGAAAGGAAAAGAAACTAGGCATACCTCTAATCCCACTTATTCAGGAGCATGAGGCAAGAGGCTTACAAATTTAGCTGGGCGTGGTGGCTCACGCCTGTAATCCCAGCACTTGGGAGGCTGAGGCAGGAGGATCTTTGCGAGTTTTGAGACCAACCTAGGCTACAAAGTGAGCTCAAGGCCAGCCTGAACTGCATAGAGAGACCCTGTCTCAAAAAGACAAAAAAAAAAAAAAAAAAAAGAGGATTACAAATATGAGATCAGCCTGGCAAATTTATCAAGACCCTGGCTCAAAACCAAACCAAAACAAACTGAAAAGTCTGTTCCATTTATGGCGGGGGGGGGGGGGACGGACAGGAATCCACAAACCCCTTGTAGAATGACATCGAGAACCTTTGAATGGTGTGATGCGTTAGGTCAGGGGCTCTGGAATCCCGACGACCTCCTCTTGGGAAATCCGGGTCAGCTTCTGGAGGAGGAGACATGGGAAAATGAAAAAACAAGGCCAGAGCACTTGTCTCACAGTATTAATGTCAGGGAGGAGGGCAGAGCGCGGTCAGGCGCCTTCCGAGGTAGTTTGACCTGCCGGGGATTCGTAGCCCGCCCCTTTCCCACGTGACGCACTTTAGCAGCGCCGTTGCTTCGCGACGAAGGTTCGAGTCCCCGCTTCGGCCGTAATGGCGGACGCAGAGTCGGAGACCGAGGGCGGCAGCGAGCGTGGTGGCGACGGCGGCAGTAGCGGCAGGGGCGGCGGCGGGCGGGCTCCCCCCCGCCAGGGCGGCAGCGCGGCACTCGTGGCCCCGCTGGGCCCCGAGCAGTTGTGGCGGGTGCTGGAGCAAGTGACGAGGGCACAGCTGCCGCCGCCGCCGCCGCCGCCGCCGCGGCCACCCTTCGTGGTGCAGGACGCGGCTCAGCGGCTGCGGGATGCGGCCCAGCAGGCCGCCCTGCAGCGGGCTCCGGGCGCTGAGCCCTCGCGCCTGCCGCGTCTGCTGCCGCCCCAGGTGAGGCGCCGGGGAACGGAGGGAGACTGAGGCCCAGACTGGGCCAGGGCGGGCTCATCGGCTTCGAGGCAACCCGGCTACAGAGGCCCTGTGACCGCTTTAGAGCTCAGGTGACCCGAGCTGAGTTCTGTGGTCCCTGATCGCTTCACCCCTCTCTTCCTATGGGTTTGGTTCATTGCGCACTGTGTCTGGCACTGGCCCAGGTGCAGGGGTGCAGTTGGAGCACACGCGATGAAGATCGTAACGGTGGGCCCGGGGTTACAGGGAGCTGCTTTCCAGTGCGTGTCCCCAGCCTGAAACCTGAATGCACTAAGGGAGCCCACGCAGAGCGCTTGTGGGATTCGAAGTGCAGCCAGTACCAAGGCAGATTCAGGACAAAATCGAGCCCATATTCCAGTAATTTGCAGTGCAGCACCCCGAGTGACAGTGGCTGTGATTTGTGACCCCAGTGCCCAGCGTGATGCACTGTACAGCTTAGAGCACTAGAAACATGAACACACTCTGCTACAGCTGCACTCCTCTCACTCAGTGTTTTTCCTGGAATAGTTGACTCTAAAGTGTGGCCTCTGAAGCTGGAGGTCCTACACATCAGTGTGAAATCATATTCCCTTCTCGAGAGTAACAAAAGGCTTCTCATCCTAATTTTGGCAAAAGAAAAGAGCTTATAGCTGTTCATGATGGCAGCACCCCTGTAATCCCAGCACTCTGGGAGGCTGAGGCAGGAGGATCACAAATCCCAGCCCAGCCTGGATAACTTAGGGACTTAGCAAGAGCCTGTCTCAAAATAAGAAAAGTAAAAGAAGGGCTGGAGATGTAGCTTAGTGCAAAGGCCCTATGTTCGACACCCCCCCCCCCAGTACCACAAAAACAAACAAACAAAATATTACCAACCACAAAACACTTTTGCCACTGGAAGAAATAGGCTATTGACTGATTTGCATTGGGCAGGCTTGTACTAGTTGACCATCAAGATTTACTGCTTCCCAGGCCAGCATTCTGGCTGAGGTAGGAGCATCATAAGCCCAGCCTGAATAACTTAATAAGACTGTATCTCAAATAGGACTGAGGATATAGCTCAGCACAAAGGCCCAGAGTCAAGCCCCAATACTATGAAAAAGAGACGCCGGGCGTGGTGGCGCGCGCCTGTAGTCCCAGCTACTCGGGAGGCTGAGGTGGGAGGATCGCTTGAGTCCAGGAGTTCTGGGCTGCAGTGCGCTATGCCGATCGGGTGTCCGCACTAAGTTCGGCATCAATATGGTGACCTCCCGGGAGCGGGGGACCACCAGGTTGCCTGAGGAGGGGTGAACCGGCCCAGGTCCGAAACGGAGCAGGTCAAAACTCCCATGCTGATCAGTAGTGGGATCGCGCCTGTGAATAGCCACTGCACTCCAGCCTGGGCAATATAGTGAGACCCTGTCTTCTAAAAAAAAAAAAAGAAAAAGAGAAGAAAAAAATGACTGGAAACCTGACTTGTATAAGTTTGGAAAGACTGGTGTGATTCTGCCCCAGTGCTGCGCTTGTTAGGGCTGTCACCTCGAGCAACCCAACCTCACGGGCTTTGAATGGTCCTCTGCTGAAGAGCCAGGTGTCTTGCCCACTGGCTGTGCGCAGCCAGCCCTGGTCAGAAGACGGCAGGGCGGCTTCCTGTGGCTGCTGCTGTTTGCAGAGCTCCTTGGCAGCCACTGTGCTGTATGCTTAGTTCCCAGCAGTCAGTAGTGTTTTTGTACCAGCATTTTCCGGGGGGGGGGGGGGGAAGCTCAGAGAGGTTGAGTAAATCTGCCCAAGGCCCTAAAGGTGTGGCTGTACTCTGGAGCCTTCATCCATGCCATACCATGGCCATATCTTCTTGCGTTTGGTGTGACAACCTCAGAAAGATTCCAGCAATAATGTGTTCCCATCCGGTAGAAACAAACCCAATCCAGGCTGCGAGCTAGGATTGCCCTCTGCAGCCAAGCTAATGTCGAATGGTGTAAACTCTACCTGCTCTCACGGTCATGTCTCTTTGAGGCCCGTTCTGCTAATAAGCTGCCAGCCTCCAGCGTGTCACGAGGCCAGAAGGCAGAGCAGACCCAAGCTTGTCTCTAGGTAGCTGTGGATGGGGAGGAAAGGCTGACCCAGATAGCTTCAAGATCAGGCAGCCAGAGGGAGATGTGGGTAAATGACTGACTGCCTTAAAGAGAGAGGCTCTACGGTGCGGGCTGCTTGGCCTCTGTTGGAGAGGGGGCTGTTGAACGAGGTGTAGAGGGTAGGTCTGAAGCTCAGTGCTTCAGTGTGGGCTCAGTGTGGTCAGAATCATGGAGGTCAGTGTCCTTGTCCCCTTGGTTGCCAGCCCATAGAAATATTTTCATCCAACAGCTGGGTCCTTCATCCTACAGCCCTGCCCTGGCTTATGGTTTCTTTACACTCACATGCCTAGAGTGCCCTTTCTCTCCTGGCAAGGGCTTTGCAGCCACTGACCAGCTCTTCTGGGGGCCTGCTGCCCCGTGGCCATTCCTACTCTTGTTTTTGTGTTTTTTGTTGTTGTTTTTGCTTTTATTTATTTAATTTTTTTTGGAGACAAGTCTTATCATGTAGTTTTCGCTGGCCTTGAGCTCACTATGTCCCCAGGCTAGCCTCAGACTTACGGTGACCTTCTTGCCTCACCCCCATGAGTGCTGAGATGATAGGGGCGCACCACCATGGCTGGCATTTTTTAAAAATGGAATCCAAAAGATGGGATTGCTAGGTCAAGAAGTATGTGTATGTAAAATTTTATTAGGTTTTATTTTTTGTTTGTTTTGTTTTTCAAGGCAGGGTCTCACTGTGTAGTTCAGGCCAGTCTTGAACTTATTAGGTAGCCTAGGTTGTCCTGGAACTCATGATCTTCTTGCCTTAGCCTCCCAAGTGCTGAGATTACAGGAGTGTGCCATCATGCCCAGCCATTTGTTAGATATGTTTCTTTTCTCTATTTTATTTTTAAATATCTGAAATTGAACCCAGGTCTTCCCACTGAGCAGCGTACTGAGCTCTTTTATTTTATTTTGAGAGAGGGTCTTGCAAAGTCACTAAGTTGCATAGGCTGGGTTTGAACTTGTGATCCTCCTGCCTGAGCCTCCCAGATTGCTGGGACTATAAGGTGAATACCACTATACCAAGGTTAGATATTTTTAAGTAAAACTTGGACATATGCAGCTCCACTCTTAAGTGTGTGTTCCTGTAGAAACTCACACGCGTGTGCACACATACCTGCAGGGCCCAGAGCGCACCATCAGAACAGGGCAGACAGCCGGCTCCCCAAGCAGGGGAACACTGCTGAATGCTACAGGAAAATGAGCCACCAGGGCTGCAGCCGGGAATAGACTTAAGATGCCTCGAGAGTTTGGGGAGACAATCTCATTCGTATAATGAATGCGTATGGAACGGTAGTTTTGGGGCTGTCCCTATGTGGTATAAATGTGAAAACACAGGAATACTAGCAGCTCATTCAGGCTTGGAGCAGGCAATGGTGTGCAGGCTGGGGGAGCCTCAGAGGGCTTTACCAATCACTTCTGGTGCCTGTCTCGAGGTGGGCAGTGCAGATTCAGGTAGTGAGCTTGTTCTTCCTGGCGTTTTTGGTTTCCAAAACTTATTTTTCCCCCCAAAATTTCATCAGATACTTTTTTTTTTTTTTTTTTTGCAGATGGGCATAGTGGCTCATGTTAGAAGGCTGAGCCAGGACAGTTGCAAATTCAAGCCCAGCATGGGTAATTTAGCAAGGCCCTATCTCATAAGGAAAAAATAAAAAGGACTAGAGATGCAGCACCATGAGAAGGCCAAAAAACAAAAGGAAAAAAAATCATCTTTTTTTTTTTTTTGTCTTTTCATGACGGGGTCTCACTATGCAGTTCAGGCTGGCCTTGGGCTCACTTTGTAGCCCAGGCTGGTCTCAAACTTACAACGATCCTCCTGCCTCAGCCTCCTGAGTGCTGAGATTACAGGAGTATGATACCCTTTCTGGCTAAAAAAACCACTTTTTCTTGTTTTTTTTTTTTTTTTTTTTTTTTTTTGGTCTTTTTCATTTCTATAGGTACCAGGGATCGAACTCACGCCTGCCTGCTTGCAAGGCAGGCGCTTATGCCGCTGAGCTAAACCCCCAGCCCCCTAAAAAAAACACTTTTAAAATGAGCTCCCGCACTCAACTGAGTCCAGGCCAGCGTGAGGCCTATGAGCTCTGAGCGAAACATGTGTGTGAACCAAAGCAGGCCATTGTTTCTTAGTAAGTCCTGGGATCGTAGTTGGTTTGTTCCCAGCACTGGGGTTTGAACTCATGGCCTCCTCACTGAGCTCCATCTGCAACCCTTCTTTAATTTCATCTTTTGGAGACAGCCTTACTTGGTTGCCCAGGTTGGGCTCAAACTTGTGATCCTCCTGTCTCAGCTTTTTAATTTGCTGGGATTATGGGCCAAAGTCAGTGCACCTGGGGTTCATGAATTTTTATTCCATTCATATCTGCAAGTGTTTCGGCTTTTGCACTGGTTGGATGTGATATGTATTCCATGGTCAGAAAGGTTTGAAAAACAGCAGTCTAGCTGGGCACTGAACACACCTGCAATCCTAGCACTTGGCAGGCTGAAGCAAGAGGATCACTGTGAATTTACGGCCAGCCTGGAGTACACTGTCTCAAAACAAACAAACAAACAAACAAACAAAAGGAACACTGTTACAGAAACTGTTATGTGAGCTGTGTAATTTAGAAAAGATTCAAACATGCATTTGACATGAAGGCAAATTGTGGAGGCACTGACCACATAATACTTTTTTTCTCTCTCCCATTTGCCTTTCTGTGTGGAAGCAACTGGAAGCCATTTGTGTCAAGGTGACATCCGGAGACAGGAAAGGGCAGGAGAAGCCAACCTCCCTGCTGGCCATCACCCGACCCCAGGCGGCCGGACAGAGCCCGAAGCCTGGGAGCTGGCCTGGCCCAGTGGGGCTCGGGGTACAGCCTGTGGGTCCTCAAGGACCCATGCCCGCCAAGAGGGTGAAGGCTACCCCTGCCCTGAGCAGCCAGGGCAGCATGCCGACCCCTGTGACTGCCTCTGACCTGCCTGTGGCAGCACCTGCTGGGTCAGGTTCAGCACATCCGTCTCTGTCGCCAGCTGGCTCACGAACAGGGCAGACCGAGAAGCTCAGGAAGTCCTCGAGGGTGAAAACACGTTCTGGACGGATATCCCGGCCCCCCAAGTACAAGGCCAGAGATTACAGATTCATCAAGACGGAGGACCTGGCAGACGGGCGGCTGTCGGACTCGGATGACTACTTGGAGCTGAGCTCGGGGGACGAGGAGGAGCAGCGAGACCCTCGGGCGCTATTCACCGTGGCCAGCTGTGCTCTACGGCCCCGGGCCTTTCGCTGCCAGGCCTGTGACAAGGCGTACATTGGGCAGGGCGGGCTGGCCCGGCACTGGAGGCTGAACCCAGGCCACAGTGGGCTGCAGCCCAAGGCGTCACCCGAGAGGGGGCAGCTGGAGGCCGGCACTGGGGGCCCGGCCTTGCCAGAGCTGTGCATACCGGCTGTGCCCCGCCAGGACGGGGCAGAGGCAGCACAAGGCAGCCCACAGGTAACTCTACTGTCTGTGACAGTGCCATGTCCCTCTCCTATCCCCGTCCTACAGTGAACCCTGGAGGGGGTGCAGGCCCCCACCCTGTTACACTGCTGCCAGACAGTGGGAGACAGGCGTTGACTGCCCCAGCCTCCGTGGGTGGCATGCCATGAGCACACAGCTCTGGTTCTTTAGGCCCGTCAGAGTGGTGCAGGGTGGTGTGCTCCTGGCTGAAGCCAGGTCATGGGACATGGGGCACCAGTGAGTCACAGTGGGTGGCACCCTACAGTAGGGCTCCTGGGGCACGAGTGTGGTCTGGTGCTGAGCTGAGTGTGTCTCTGTCTGTTCAACTTTCAGGCTCCTAGTAACAAGGTCTCTGTGGTTGCTGTGTGTTTATATCACAGCAGTTTTGCCCAATTTTTTTTTTTTTTTTTTTTTTGTCTTTTTCCTTTTTATGGGTACTGGGGATCAAACTCACGACTACCTGCTTGCAAGGCAGGCGCTTATGCCACTGAGCTAAATTCCCAGCCCCTTTTTTTGTTGTCTTTTGAGAGAGGGTCTTGCTGGAGAGTGCAGGCTAGCCTTGAACTCACTAGGTAGCCCAGGCTGGCCCCAAACTCTGGCAACCCTCCTGTCTCAACTTCCCAAGGGTAGCATTATACGTGTGCTCCACTACACTCAGGGGCTAGGTTAATTTTTAAAATGATCGTCACATCAGCTGAACTCTTACTTCACTTTGATCAGCACCCTGGGGTGCCAGTGTGTAGGTGAGACTTGTTGGCTTGGTAATAATCACCTGTTTTTCCAGATGGGGACAGTGCTGGGAAAGTCTAAGATGCACTGATTGCGGTTAGAGTCTTGATGGGAGAAGAAATAATTGTCCAGGTGGTGCATTTCTATAATCCCAGCTGCTTGGAGGCTGAAGCAGGAGAATCATAGGTTTGAGGCCAAACTGGGCAACTTAGTGAGACCCTGTCTCAAAATAAAAATAAAAAGGGCTGGAGATACAGCTCAGTAATAGAGTGCTTGGTTCAATTGTCAGTGTGGCCAAACCATAAAAGCAAATTCTTGCCTTGACATAGTTCTGCCTTTAGGTTTTCTTGGTAGAGCTCACAGGGCATGATTCTTTTGTTTTCTTTGGCTATAAAACATTATCAGTGTGTAGAAGTTGAAGAGGCGATGGTGCTGGAGCCAGAAAATGCCAGTCCTGCTTCGGGGATTCAACCTGGAGACACCGAGGGCCTGGCAGAGTCCAGCGCAGCCGTCGCCCCGCCGAACGCCTACAGGAGCAGAGCCCAGCTCCAGGAGGTACGTGGCTCTTACACTGTGGCACTTACTCTGTGAAGTTCTTTGGCCTGGTATGTGACAATTCACCGTTAGCTCTCTGCATTTAAAATAAGCTGCCAGACACATGGGGGAAACATGAGTGACAGCTGGCTGGAGAGGCAGGTGGGGGCCAGGGCATACAGGGGCAGAGGAAACAGCCCCGTGCAGTGCTGCCTGTGGCACCAGCCTGGGAGCCTGGGACTCAGCTTCGCTAGCCTGGGTTGCAGGTGTTACACTTGGGGACGCGTTTTCAGTAGTGGGTGACGAGTGGCCTTCACCTCGTGTCACTGGCTGATGCAAACAGCACCAGGATTCACACTTCCTGCCCAGCAGCTCAGCTGCCCCACTTCGAGGCCTCCACAGCACCCTCTAGGCAGACCTTGGGTCAGGGGTCCCACAGTAGTCATTGTCCCTGCCTGGCAGAGAGGGACAGCTGCCCCGGGTGGCGCTGAAGCTGGCAGGCATCTGAGAGGTAAGGATGGCCGCTTGGGACACGAGTGACTCCCAAGAGGGTGACAGGGACACTGTGGTCGAATTGGCCGCTGCCCTGCAAAGAGGCAGCATCACCATCCACATGTGGAGGAGGCTTTCCTGGAAGTGTGTGGAATTCATGGATCTGCTGGGTGCCTGTTGAAATCATCCACTCTGGGCATAGACATGCAGCATGCACAAGGTGGCACAGCCCTGCCATCCTGCGCCAGGTTTCGTCCCTCCCCATACCTGTCTGCCAGGCGGCCCAGGGGACCTCACTCCTCGCCTGGCTTCTTATACCTCCGCCGACTGCAGACTCATGGCTCCGCTTGGGGGCCAGCCCCTCTGGAGCTCTGCTCACTTATCCCAGCCCTCTCCGCCCTGGGCTGCCGTGAGCCCCTCCAGCTCAGAAGAGGCCCCTGCCTGACTTTCCACACTCCACTATGTTGCAGAGGGCGCTCCTCTGTGTAGTGCAGGCTGGCCCCAAACGCTCATCAATCCTCCTGCCTCAGCCTCCTGAGTGCTAGAATGACAGGTGTGCACCATCATGCCTGGCTTTCTTTTTTTGCATTTTCAAAGAATTTTACTGGTCACATTCAATACAGAGTAGGTGGACCCATTCATGATACACCTTGGTGCTTTTTTTCCCATTCCCCTCCCCTCCCTTTAGCCCCTCCTCTATTCCTTAGTGACAGAGTTTTCTTTCCGTTTTTTCCTTTCTTTTTCTCCTTGTCCTTAGTTTCTCCCCCCCCCCCATATTCCCCTTCTCATTTGAATATTTTCTTCCCATTTCCCAGTATCTATTACATTTGGTCCTTACTTACATGTTTGGTTTCCTACACCAGAGGAGCCATGTGGATTTTGCTTGTGTGTCTGATTCATGTCACTTCTTTCCGCCTCACTCCCCCTTTCCCCCCGTGGCTGCTGAGCCTTACTCCCTACCCGATGCACTGTCAGTTGGGTCCCCCTTGCCTATGCTCCCCGCTGTGCCAGGTGCAGGGGATCCAGCCCTGGCTCCATCCCTGCACCCCCTCCACCTAGCACCTCTGGAAGGAACCCAGCACGGCCCTTCTGGTCAGCTGCCACCTTCGGCTCTGTACCTGAGCCCTGTTTCTGCTGCAGCTCCTGACTCACTGGCCTGTGAGTCTCCTGCAAGGGTCAGGAGCCAGCACTGCAGGGAGCACTCCCATTGCCTCCAGCCATGCCCTCCCCACGGGCCTGGTGCCTAGTCCTGTACTCAGCACTCAGACCTAGAACCGGGAGTTGACAGGTCTCTGTTCATGGGTGAACGATTACGGTTCTTAAGAAAGCAGAATGTTAGCCAGGCGTGGTGGCACATGCTCATGAGCCCAGCACTTTGGAGGTTGAGACAGGAGGATGGCAGAGATCGAGGCCAGACTTGGCTGCACAGTGAGGTCTAGGCCAGCCTGAACTGCATAGTGAGACTGTCTCAAAAACCTACCCAAACCAAACCAGAGCAGAATGTTGGGAGTCGCTGACCCTGGGGGTCTTTGTCTTACGTCCTGAGGTGGTGAGTGCTTTCTTTGCAGTTGCTCCTGCAGAGTGGCCCAGAGGACTTGATGGAGCTGGTGCTGCCCCGGCTGGTACAGGTGGTGACTGTATATGAGTTTCTCCTGGTGAAGGTGAGCATTTGAGGGTCTGTAAGGACCCTGTGTGGTGTGTTTTTGGGCTTTGCCGCTTCCCCAGGACAGAGCCCAGAGCAGGAGTGGGCGAGGTCACTGTTGCTGTCAGGAAGCCACATGTGTGGCTAGCCCAGCCTCCTGGGCCAACTCCTTGGAAGTCTCTATCTCCCTGCCCGATGCTATCCTGGAGCTATGTGGTCACTGTGCTGGCTGGCTGGCTCCCTCTGATGTTGGGCACACAGCAGGTGCCCTGGGGCAAGAGGGCTCCCTGCCAGGAGCCCTTCCGCCTTTGCCTGGATGTCCAGCATCAAGGCCATAGGTGTGGACTCGCCTCGTTTCCCTCTCACACAGGCCAAGGACAGCAGCTTGGCGCAGCCCAGCTTCCAGGCTGTGTACAAAACGTTTGAAGAGCTGCACGCCAGGGTGAAGGCCCTGTGTCAGGAGCACCTTAGCCGAGTCGGCACGGCTTCTCTGCAGCCCCTGGAAGTCAGAGACCCTCAGGTGACACCAGGCTCGGGCTCTCACTGTCACAGTGAGCCGGGGAGGAGTGAAAGAGGGGACACTTCCAGCAGCGATGCTTCTCGCTGCTGGTCTGTAGCCTTTCTCCGCTTCAAGGGAAGGTTTAGTTGCTTAACATAAAAATGATGTGTGCTTGACCTGAAACTCCAGAATGCAGAAAGAAACGAAAGCCCAATGTCTCCCCGTGCCAGCTGGGGCCACGGCCCACTGGGTGTGGGCACACGTGGCCAGCAGGGATCACTTGGAGTATTTGCGGTTGCTAAGCTCCATTTCCAGCTCTTCTCCTCTCCTCTTCTCTTTTCTCTTGCCAAGGGGTCTTGGTAAGTTGCTAAATTGCCAGGTCAGGCTCAAGCTGTTTGCTTTATTGTTGTTTGTTTTTTGAAACAGGATCTCACAGTATAGTTCAGGCCGGTCTTGAACTCATGGCAGTCCTCCTGCCTCAGCCTCCTGAGTACTGAAATTACTGGCTTGTGCTCCTACACCCAGCCGGCGAAGTTCATGTCTCCCGGCCCCTTTCTCTTCAGGTTGCCGAGTCCCTAGGAATCCCAGGATTTCTGAGGAAGACAGAAGCACGCCCAGACCACACTGTAGCCCAAGGCCACAGTCCAGAGAGGGCCGGGCTGAGGCTTGAGGAAGCCGGTGGCTGGCAGAGGTTGCATGAGGTGGGCACACTGTGAGTGGGCAGGTGTGGGCATCTGGTGGCACTGGGCTCCTTGTACTCTCCCAGGAGGACAGGAGCAGGGCTGCAGTGGGTCTGGTGTCAGCAGCATCTCTCCACAGGCTGCACAGCAAGCACCCGCAGCACAGAGGCCCAGGCAAGCAGCTCTGCCCATTGGTGACCCAGAGCGCCCTGCTGCCCTTGGCGGAGGCCAGGAGACTCCTGGGCTGGGTGTGCCCACTACAGGCAAGGGTAAGACCTGAAGATTGCCCCAGCTGCTGCCCCACAGAGTAGGGAGTTCCACTCAACCCTGAACCCTCAGGCCAAGGGAGGGGTCACCTGATGAGGGGAGTGGACTACGAGGGCCCCCAGAGGTGGGTAGAGATAATCTCAAGGACATGCATGCAGTCCATGGCCTGGCTCTCACAAGACCTGCTTCCACAGGCAACAGTCACACAGGAAATGACCCCTCCTGTCTCTTTTACCAGCTGAGAGACCCTGCTACCTGGCACCTGCCCTCATCTCCAAGTGAGGTGGGAGCTCAGAGCTCCCTGCCCCGGGAGGACACATTTCTAAAACAAAATCTGCCTGTGGGAGTAGATGGGAGCTGATGTGGGCCAGCTTATGAGTTGGAAGACACTGTTACACACAATACATGTGCTCTTCTGTTTCTGATCTGTTTAGGTTTTGCCCCTCCAGCGATTGGGGCCGCTCCTGCCCTGCCTGAAGGCAGCCATGGGGTGACAGTTTCCGGTGGGTTCACGAGTGTGTCACATGCAGGCTGGCAGCTTACGGCATCCGCTGACTCTGGAGCCAGGCGTGGGTCTGCAGGCCCTGGTGTCCTGTGTGGGGAGAGCCATGGAACAGGTGCCCCGCTAGGCGAGCCTAAAGAGCATGTTCCAGATGCCAAGGCCGCCCAGGGAAGCCTGGGAGCCTACAGCACCCTGTCACCAGCAGGAGAGGCTACAGGTGCAGAGCCAGGGGACCCAGGCGCCAGGCCCATGGCCCCACTGCCTGAGGAGATCTCGCCAATAGACATTGTGCCAGTGGACTGCACTCGCAGGACTGGCCCAGACAGGTCACCATTGAGCATAGGAAGCCATTCTGGGGACCTGAAGCAGCTCCTCCATGGGCTGGAGGTACACATCAGCCTGGGAGACCTGGAATGTGAGGCTGCTGTTGGGGACTCGGTGGCCTTTGAAATCAGTAATGGGTGCCCGGAAGTGCTTTGCCAGGGCCAGGAACAGATCCTCGTTCAGACTGCCAGCGGGGTCCTCCTGTCCCACTTGGGGACCACCACATCACAGGAGAACACTGTCCTGGTGACCGGTGCAGGGGGCCCTGGCCTGCACATCAGGGCCCCAGAAGGCATCCCTCTGGTAGCAGGGGGCGAGACCCTCACAGTGCAGACCGAGCCCTCGCCATGACCGTGTTGGAAGCATGGTCCCACATCTGTTCTGCCTGGAGTCCAGTGGGCAATGGGGTTTTCTCCTGTGAACCCCGGTGATGAGCCTGGTGTTTTCATAAAGAGTAACATCTGCAGTGCCTGTCCAGTTCCTCGGGGTGTCAGTACTGGGGTTCGGACAGATTCATCTCCAGACCTTTTTAAACTTTTTGAGACGGGCTCCCTGTGTACCTCAGACTGGCCCCTAGCTGGAACTTGGGGCAATCCTGCCTCAGCCTCCCAAGTGCTGGACCACCACACCCGGCTTGTAGTCTTTTATTTTGGAGCCCCAAAATTCTTCATTTCTCTGGGAGCGTTTGCTCTTTGGACCCTTAGCTTCAGTGTCACAGAGCTACCTTTGTCCCACAGCCTGAAGTCCCTCAGGTTGCTTTTCCTGAGGAACAGCAGACTCGCGCACATAGCCTGCGCCATGCTCCCGTGATTCGAACATGGCCTTTGCTCTGTGGGTCTGCTGGGCTGCATGTCTGTAGAGGACTGGGATTTGGGTTTGAGACCTTTGTTCCAAGCACAGGGCTGATAGGAGGAAGTGGGGAGGAAAGAAAACGGACTGAGGCTGCACCTGTGGTGTACCAAAGGAAGTGCCCCTAGGACAGCCCATCAGCAGCACAGAGCCTGGGGCCTTGCAGGCCTGGCCCTGGCGTTTCCTCATCTGTAAAAGGGCAGAGCAGGGGCAGAGCCATTGAGTTCTCCTTAGTTGGTAAATTAAATCAATCTGGATGATTGAGGCATGGTAGTACACACCTAACATCACCGCTACTCCAGAGGCTGAGGCAGGAGGCTCCCATGCCCCAGGCCAGCCTGGGCAATCAAGTGAGACTTGACTCACAATAAAAAGGCCTGGAGATGGAACTCCGCGGCACAGTGGCTCTGAGTGTGACCCCTGGGACCACCAAGAAAGGTCTTGATAAATGTAGCTAAGTAGTATGTTCATGGCGAAATGTCAGAAAGCTAAAGGGCTCAAAAACTCACTTAAGAGGGGCCGAAGATGTTGTTCAGTGGGGAGTGTTTGCTTAGAGCATTCAAGGCCCTGGTTCTGTCCTCAGCTCTTCACATCGTGTTTATTTAGTGTCACAGGGAGGTCACAGTGTCAGTGTCAGTGTTGTGGAGAATGTGAACGAGGGGAGCCAGGCATGGTGTACATGCCTATAATCCCAGTGCTCGGGAGGCTGAGGCAGGAGGATTGCTGTGAGTTTGAGACCAGTCTGGCCTACAAAGTGAGCATAAGCCCAACCTGAACTGCACAGTGAGACCCTGTTCTCAATTTTTTTGGTACTGGGGATTGAACTCATGACTTTGTGCTTACCAGGCAAGCACTTGAGCCACTGAGCTAAATCCCCAGCCCTGACCCTCTCTCAGAAAGACAAAAAACCAGAATGTGAACCCTAAGGTACCTGTGCTCCTAACAGGCCATTGCCCCTCAGCGTGCATGCCATGGGATTGTGGGGAGGTGGTTTCCATTTCTACGACACCAAACTCCTTACGTCACATGTTATTTAGTTACATAACTAGTATATTCTCATGAAGATTGAAATACAGGTAGGGACACAGCAAACCCATGAAGGGCCTGGTTTCTCCCACATGTACCCACAGTGACACAAGTGAGACCCTGCCATTGTCCTTCGAGGAGCAGTTCTGCCCAAGAGAGGTTCCTGGGGAAGCAGCTTCCAGCAGGTGCGGCAACACATGAGGCTGCAGTGGGGTTGGGTGCCCGAGGCAGCTGCCGGCGTCCCACCTCACGTGGCTGGCAGAGGCTCAGGCGGAGCAGGAGCGAGGGCTCGGGGAGGTCACAGTGTTCGGTGGCCCGTCTCCAGCAGCATGCTCTCCAGCAGCAGCCCACTGTCCCGCTCCACATAGGGCTGGTGCAGCCACATGGACAGGAAGCTCAGGATCAGGTCTCGGTCCGAGGTGTGGGCCAGCTCTGCAGCCAGCGTGCGCTTCAGGTGCAGCTCGCAGCTGTACATGTGGGAGAGCTTGTGTGCAACCTCATCTGGAATGGGAGGACAGGCGGGCTGGCTCTGAACCCCTGGCCTCCCATGCAGCACTGCGCCCAGCTCGGCCTTTTGTGTTTTAGTTTGTTTGCTTGTGACAGGGCCTCTGTCGTCCAGGCTGGCCTTGAACTCACTATGCAGCCCAGGCTGGCCTCCTGCTGGACGAGGCGCAGGCAGAAGAGGAAGAAGCATTTAAGCAGCCTCTACCTCCCCTCCTGGGTCCCCACCCTAAACGACAGTAATGCTCTTCTACCCTCCGGCCTCCTGAATATCAGCCCCAAGCAGCTACTTACAGAAGTGGGCTGTGGGCCAGGTATGGAACAGCAGGGGTCGTCTGGTCTCCTCCCCATAGTAGTAATTTTCTAGCTCACAGATTCCCTTGGTGGTTGAAGACAGCTTTTCCATTTTCACCTGTATTTTGGTCTGAAAAGATACCAATTTGAATGGAACAGTACTATTTGAAGTCTGTCTGAGATTCAGTAAGTTTAAGATTTCAAAGCTAAGGAATCCATGTCTGCTGAGGCTAAATAGTTGCAAACCAGAAGCCCTGAGCTCTGCAGACAGCAGGTGTCCAGGGCAAGGTCGGACAGGCGCAGGTCACAGCCTCCGGATGGCTGCAGGTGCTGAGGAGGAGTGAGCCTGCCCAGCCACTGTCCTGAGCCTCCAAGCTGCCTCACAGCTTAGCTTCTAAGCCTTTGCTCTGTGACCCTGGACAATGCTCAGGGCAGATGGAGTAAGCACCCAGGACAGCAATTTGTGGGGTGGCTATGCACGTTGGTGCATGCTTGTAATCTCAGCACTGTTGGAGGCTGAGGCAGGGAGATCACTGTGAGTTCAAGGCCTGCCCGGTCTGCCTAGTGAGCCCCTCTTTTAACTCCCCCCCCCCAAAAAAAGGGAAAAAATATTTGTGGGGTGCGGAGAGGAAGAAACACTGGGGGATACCAGGGGAAGCAAGGGTCACTGTGGTGCTAAATGTGTGACAGTTAAGCAAACTCCAGCAGCTTTGTGGGAGCTGGTGACAGTGAGCATGATAGCCGGTGTCTCTAGGCCTTACCAGACCCTCCAAGGTGGCCTGCAGCTCCTCGCACAGTGTCTCCAGCTCCTTGTCATAGTCGGGGTGCGTCTTTTCTTCATCGTCCTCGGAAGCTGGGCTGCTGCTGTCCGGTTCTGCCTTGTCTCTGCTCCTGGACAGTACAGAGGACAGTGACCATATTCCGAGCTCCGTTCATTTCCTTAAGGCAAATCCTAGAAAACTCAACTACACCCACGCAACTGTGCCAGGCATTTGGCATCAACACTTCTGTGCCATTACAGTGCAAGTTCACCTATTATTTACATATACAACAGATGTGTCCACTGGTCATGTGAAAACAGTTTTTATGGTACAGCAGATTTTTTTTTCTGTTTTTGTGAGACAAGGTTTCACTGTGTAGTTAAGGCTGGCCTTGAACTTAGGGCAATCCTCATGCCTCAGCCTCCCTGTGGATTAAACACAGGGCCTTAAAGTGCCAGCATGATTGAACCCTGAGCCATACCTCCTTGTACTAGAGCTTGTACTACAGTGAGTCAGCTCAACCTACTCCCCTAGCAGCTTTGGCTAAAGTTGGTGTTGGGTGTACAATGATGAATAAGATGCAGCTCAGCTCCTCAGGAAGCTCCCGCTCCGGGAATGTTTTCAAACTGAAGGCCACGGCCCTTTGCCAAGCCCAGAAGGTGGGACCTTTAAGAGGCAGGGCCTTGGGAAGGCTCCACCCTGGGGGGAGGGGGCATGGCCAGAGGATGCTTCCACCCCCCTTCCTCCAGTAGTTCAAGCCAGAAAGCCACTGGATTCCTTCCCTACAGATGGGGCCACACGTGACTTACAGTAAGCTGATTTTCAGGTTGGCAATGCTGTTTGCAGTGGCAAAACCTGCATCATTCAGGGCTTCCCACTTCTGGATTAGATTGTGCCAGTCAGCTGCATTGTCCTTAATTTTTCTTGCACTGACCGATAAGACAGGCTTTTGGGGTACTACAGCTCCAAGAGGCTTTGCTGATAGGGAGTAAAGGGGAATAGGATTGTTATGAACACCCATCACAGCCAGAGGGCAAATGCACTTTCACCAGGGAGCAGGAAATGCTGCATTAGCTGCATACAAACTAGGAGGCCAGGCAAACACAATTTTTAACTTTTGTTCTAATTTTTTTTTGAGACAGGACCTCAATATGTAGCCTGGTCGGGCCTTAAACTCATGGTGATCCTCCTGCTTCAACCTCAGGAGTGCTGGGATTGCAGGCCTGTGCAATCTCAGCAACATTTTAAAAAGAATATTTACAATCCACCAGATACAGCTGAATTCTTTTCCAGCTTAACAACTCCCTAAGTTTTCACTTTAAGTACTCTGACCATTTCTAAAAGCTGCCCTTTCCTATACGACACTTCAACCCTGAGTGCTTGGCATTCCCACTATCTACTGGCCAGTCCTGGGAAATTTTTTTTTCTTCTGTTTTTGATTGAGATAGGTTCTTACTATGTAGCTCAGGTTGGCGTCAAACTCAGGGTGATCCTCCTGCATCAGCCTCCCAAGTGCTGGGACAAGAAGCATGAACCATCACACCTAGCTCATCTCAGGCACTCTGAGACCTTAAATGACAGACTTTGTGGTCCCAGTGACATGGAAACTTCATGGGGTGGAGGTCTGGACCAGGCTGCTGCTGCCAGGCTGGGACTCAGGAGCTCCTTCGGGACCTTGCTGCCCCTCTACCTCCAATTCAGATGAACCTCTGGGCCTTTCGATCAGTTCTCACTGTCACAGTCTCCCTGGATCTCTGGTCGGGTTTAGACCCACTGTATTGGGGGCCTGAGATACCGTGTACTTCTGCTACCATGACATTCACCAGCACGTATTTGCCAGTTTAATGTCTCTGTCCCTTGCTGGGCTGTAGGCTGCACCAGGTTAGGGACTATCTGCCCTGTTTCCTCTTATGTCTTCTGCACCCACTAGGACCCTCAATAAAACTTGTTAGATGGCAAGATGTTTCTCACTACCTGCATTATAATCCTGCAGGGGTCTCTCTTCCCCAGTAGAGGTTCTGAGGGTGAGGATGACACCTGATTCTTCCTCTGTTTACCCCAACCCCAGCACGGATGTAGGAACCAGAAACAGCTCTGGCTTCAAGAAGCTCCAAGGGTAGCAGGGAGAGACTGAGCAGTCAGAGTCGTCCCGTGACACGCAGAGCGAGGCATGGCAGTTACTGCATGGGAACACTGAGCCGATTCACCTCAGGCGCTCGCAACACTGCTCAGCAAGAAGCGACACTCGCTGAGAGGCAGCTTGCATCTCTCGCGGGCCCTCCTGACTGAGGAAATTCAGGGAAAAGGTTCTGGAGGGGGTGGACATACAAAGCTTAGCACCAACTGCTCTGTTATGCTAATTCATAACGACGATATACACAATCTGAAGTCCGGCATAGTGACACATATATGGGACTCAGAGGCTGAGGCAGAAGGATCGCAAATTCGACCTCAGAGTGGGCGATTCTGTGACTCTGCAAGTCCCTGTCTCAAAATAGATTACAATTTGAGTGTCCCATTGTTGACACACCATACACCACACAAACTAGCTCCTCGCTCGACTGCAGAGTCTGTGCAGGGCCAGTGAACTGGACTGGGTAAGGCAGGATAGCACCGACCCCGGGGCCCCGATCTTCCCGCCAGCGCTCAGGTGAGGCGGTAACATCCTCAACCCACGCGCCCCGGCAGAGCGAACTTCCTCACGCACCTTCCATGCAGTCCGCGGAGATCCTAGGTAGGAGACCTGAAGCCCCGCCCACGGCAGCCGGAAGCTCTGCGTCACGTCCGCCACGCCCCGGCTGCCGGTACTTGTGACTCGGCCTCTCTAGCCCGCGGCGGAGTCGGCTGTCGCTGGCCCTCCCCGCCCGTTGCCAGGGAACGCGCTCCCGGCTGCCCCCGCGGCCCAGCGTCCATCCTCGCCTCCCCCGGCCGCCGGGGCGGGCGAGTGCTGAGGGTCCGCGCGGGAGGTGAGTACCCAGACGCCCGGTCCCTCTCCGTCCCCGGCCACTCTATCCTCGCCTCGGCGCCAGGGTCTCCGTCGCCCCCACCGCCGCCCGCCGCACGAAGCCGTCCACCAGATGCCCAGCGGCCCTCGGCCCCCGCCCCGCCCTGCCCTGCGCCACCCCACCCTCGCCTCCCTGCCCGCGGGCCCCAGCGTGCGACGTTGCGCCCGGTCCCGACCTTCGGGTCTCGGGTCCTACATCCGACCGCGCAGGCCTTGACCCCGGTGGGTGTCCAGAAAGTGTTCTGAAGTAGACAAGTAAGCGACCCCCGGCCTACTGCAAGGCTCGGGAGGCAGAATGGGGAGCAAGGATCAAAGACGGGGCGTCCCTTCTCCGCGGGTTCGGAAGACGGAGGGGGCGCCTTGCTGGCCGCTGGAGAGCGAGACGGGCAGTGCTGAGGAGTCGTAGGCGCCTCGGTCCTTAGGACGGACGGGTCGCCCGCGGTGGCTGTCGCCGTCCTCCCTTGGGTGTCCTGCTTGGTCTCTTGACTTATTCAGTTTCTCCTGCTCGCCTTCCTCTTCTCTTCCCTGCTCTTTGTCCTTCCTCTTTCTCACCGACTCAGAATTTTATTCTGTTTTGTTTGTCCCACTTGTTGGCAGAATCTGGGGCGCCAGCTTGGGCACAGTCTTGGCTGGTCTACTGGAGTGGTCAGTCGCACTTGGGGTGACGACCTCCCCGCACCCCGGCTCTTTGCAAATTCAAGCATGGGAGTTCTGGGAGCTCTTCAAGCCCAGCTCCCAGGCGTGGCATAATCTGGGAATGAACCCACTGGGGTCCCTTGTCGCCATTAAGTCCTGGTCTCAGCTGCAAGCCTCTCCCCTGTCGCGCACCGCTTGTTTTTTTCTTCCTCCGCATTTGCAGTGCGTAGTGTGTGTGTTTCCATCCCTGTGTGAAGCTGCCTTGTGTACAGAGCACATCTTCCCTGTTTCATGTCCTTTCCTTCCCTACCTCTTTCTCTGCATCTTGCGCTCTCTTTCTGTCTTTTTGAGACAGGGTCTCACGATGCAGCCTGTCTTGAACGCAGACTGTAGCCCAGGCTGGCCTTGAGCTTTTTGTGACCCTCCTACCTCAGCCTCCTGAGTGCTGGGATTACGGACATATGCCACCTTGCTCAGTTCCCTCTGTCTCTTCATCCCCTTCCCTATTGAGAAAGATTTGTCTTACAACTTCCTGTTATCTTCTCTTTTGCTCTTTGTTTATATTTTGGGTTTCTCCTGTAAGAAAAACCATATGGTATTTAAGATTGTGTATCCAGTTTATTTAACATAGTCTCAAAGGTGCATTCATTTTACTGCAAATGATTCAAGTTTTTCTTTTGATTTTTCAGGTTTTTGGGTTTTTTTATTACTATTTTTATTTGTTGTATTTTTTGAGGCAGGGTCTTGCAATGTAGTTCAGGTGTCAAGGCTGGCCTAGAACTTGTGGCCATCCTCCTGCCTCAGCCTCCCAAATGCTGAAAGTATAGCCATGCGCCATACCATTCCTGGCTCAACGCTTTTGATTCAAAATTTGATTGTTACTACTGTAGAACTTGACAAGGTTTTGTTTTCTGTTTTGTGATACCAGGAACTGGAACTCAGGGCCTCTTGCAGCAACAAACTCTCCACCAGGGTGCTGGGTGCCTGCCCCAGGACATTGTATTTTATTGTTGTTTTTTCCAGGACAGTTATTAATCTGAGTGGGTGATTGGCCAACCCTACACTCGCTCCCTACGCTCTTGAAGTTGCAGTATCATGGTGGTACCAAAGAGACAGCTCCAGGGATTCAGACCTTGCAGGATACACGCTGAGACCTGCCCCCCATGCCATCACAGATAAACACCTAGTCTAGTCAGAATAGTGTACCCACTGGGCACAGGCAGTTCTCGATTTCTCAGCAGGTCTCCAGTCTCCTTCTAGTCTGACTGCAGTTCCAGAGTCTCTGCTGTGTGGGGATGAGGGAGCTGTCAGTGAGCAGCATCAAATCAGGTGAAGTTTTGGACATGGTTGGTTTGAGGAAACAGGGTCTGTCTTGAGTTGCTAAGATGCCCAGGCTGGGTTTAAAGTTTTGATTCTCATGCCTCAGTCTCCTGAGTGCTGGAATTACAGGTGTGTGCCATCAGGTCCAGCTAGAAAAGAGAATTTTGAAAGAGGAAATAACAACCGAGGTGCAAAGTGCTAAGTACTCCTGCTGGCTTCTCGGGAATCTTACCAGCTGGCAATTAGAAAAAGTTCTGCCGTGGCTGGATATGTCCTGGAATTGAGGACTGGAAATTTAACTCTCTGGCCTGCACCTGGGACCTTCACACATAAGGGTTAGATGTGGGGGTGGAGCTGGGGCCTTGAGATTGAATTAGTGGCTTTATGTATAGGGTGGAGAAGCCAGAGGTGATTGGCTGCTCGTCCTGGTGCTTGTTTCCTTGTGCCAGTTGGGGCTGCAAAGCCCCCACCTGAAACAAGGCCTGATCAGTGTTGGCCGCGGTCCACACCGAGAGCTGAGAAGCCTTTATTCTTCCTTGGCTACTCAGGCTGAGCTGCTCCAACTGTTGGAAGGGGCCTGAGCCAGTGCCTGACAGAAACAAGAGCAGAGTTTGGAGAGCCTGGGAGGTGAGCTGCCACTGGGTGGGGCAGTTGAGGCCAAGTGAAGGTCTGTGGCTAGCTGCTGTCCACTGGCTTAGCAGGAAATCTGGCGACAGATGAGAGGGACAGAGTGAAAGAGGCAGATGGATCAGGGTCCTGGGAGAGATCTGGGCCTCAGCAATGGTGGTGTGAGCCCATGGGGAACACGAGAGACATGTTAGGGTAGTGGTGACAAGCCTGTGGCACACGTGTGATTTGTTTTTCTTTTAAGACAAAAGATGTTAACATATGAGTTTTTCCTAAACTAAAACCTCATTCTCCAGGTTTAATTGCAGTGCTGGCACTTTGCAATAAATAAGTGGGTTCAGAGTTGCAGTTTGGGCACTGGATCCCTGTAAGGTTCGCCATCGCTGTGTTAGGGACTAAGAGGAACAGACTTGGTAGATGAATGGAGAGGAAGGAAGACTTTGGGAGCTGTGTCTGTCTTACAGCGTGGACGGCATGGGCCAAACAGTCTTGCAGAAGGCAAACTTGCTGCCAGTGTGATGAAAGGCCGTAGTCCTGGTAGTCTGGAGGTCTGTGAGACTGAGGCAGGAAGATCACTGGGAGTTTAGGCTACTCTGAACTGCATAGTAAGACTGTCTCAAAAAAAAAAAAAAATCAAAAACCAGCCAAACAAAAGAGATTCTAGGAAGCCGAGCTTCGTGGTATACACCTCTGTAATCCCAGCATTTGGGAAGCTGAGGCAGGAGGGTTGTTTTGAGTTGGAGACCAGCCTGGGTTGCAAAGTGAGCTCAAGGCCAGCCTGAACTGCACAGTGAGATTCTGTCTCAAAAAGACCACAAAAAAAAAAAAAAAAAAAAAAAAAAAAGGCTAGGGATTTAGCTCAGTGGCATAAGCACCTGCCTGGCAAGTGCAAGGTCCTGAATTCTAGGAGGTTGAGGCAGGCAGATCAGAAGCTTGATCCAGGCAATTTAGCAAAGTCCTGTTTTTAAAAAAATGAAACAAAAAAAATTGCCAGAAGGATATGTTTTTCTAGACTTTAGCTATTTACGCTGTGTAAATGCCTACGATATGGGTTTTACTAATCTTTTTTCAGACAGATAAATGGAGATCCAGACCCATTAGTAATTTCTCCAGGTCCCACAGATAGTGTAGGTGACACTGCCTTTGGGAGCCGGGGCTTTTTCATGCCCAGGTCATTATTCAGTCATGGTGCTGCTTTCCCCGGGGGACAGGGCCAGCTTGATGGTGGTGGGGCTGGGACCAAGTGTAGGGGAACAGAGCCCAGGAGCTCATGTGCGAACTAGCTAAGAGAAGTGCAGCCCAAGGCAGGAGGCAGCACCCCAGCCTTCTCTCCCTGTGGCCCATTGTTTTTTTGAGGCAGGATCTTGCTATGTAGCCCAGGTTGGTCCTCCTGTCTCAGCCTCCTGCATGCTGGGATTGCCGTGTTTTACTGGGAAGTGACTTGAGCCTGCCTCCCACCTAAACGCTGGGACCCCCAGATGGCCCATCTGGAGCCTCCTAGGTACCCAACTCCTCCTGGGTGCTGGGCAGGAGCTTTTTGGCACAACCATGAGGGAGACATTGATCAGTGTGACCACTCTGGAAGGTCATTTGGAAGACATTAAACAAGTCACATTTTCATCTATTAGCGTTCACCCCAAGAATACTCCTGGGTCTGTGTCTGTAGTATTTAGGATGGTAAAAACAAAAGATTCTGGTGGAGAAAATTTTAGTTTATCTGTAAATGTGTTCTTTGATGGTTTTCCTTTTTCTCTTTCTCTTTTTTTTTTTTGTCTTTGAGACAAGGTTTCACTATATAGTTCAGGCTTGAACTCTCTTTATAGCACCTCCTGGCCTCAGACTCACAGGAATCCTCTTGCCTTACCCTCCTGAGTGCTGGAATTACAGGAGTGAGCCAGCATGCCTGGCCTCATTTTTTTTTTTTTATAGTGATTAAAAGTCATGTTCTAAACTGGGTGTGTTGGCGCACTCTTGTAATCCCAGCACTGGGGGTTTGAGGCAGGAGGATTGCTGTGAGTTCAAGGCCAGCCTGAAATACTTAGTAAGACTCTGTCTCAAAATAAGACAAAACAAAAAGTCGTGATTTAGGGCAGTACTGACAAACCTATGGTGTGGGTGCCATAGTGGCCTCTTTGTGAATCAATGAGAACTCTAGAAGATTCGCCATGCCTGTGATATGAGAAACACTCTTGATTTATTAAGTGAAAAGCTCTGTGTATGTGTGTGTACACACGCATATCTATAGCTGTTTATATACCAACTAACTACCAACTAACTGTAGCTGTTATATACATAGCCTAGCACCCCAGCCTACATATGATGCACACCTGTGAAGTGGATTATGCAAGATCTCTATTTTGCACTGTTCTTTGTTGTTTTTTGAGACAGGGTCCAGGCTAGTCTTGTGCTCACAGAGACTCCCTCCCTCAGCCTCTGAGGGCTGGGATTACTGGTGTGCACCACCACGCCTAGCTTTGTACTTTACTATATGTGTATTAACAAATTTCCTATAATGAGCAGTTATGGTTGTCGTAAAAGGAAAATACTGTTTTAAGTTAAGTAAGTGCTCTTGCATCACCGTGTGGGTGTGCCGTAGGCAACAGACCCTTTGCGACTTCCATCTGTGCTGTACGTGAAGGTGAACGGGAATGGTCCAGCTGGGGACCAGCTCATGTGTGATTTGGGGGCTGAGTGGAGCCTCCCTTAGGGGGTCCAAGCTGAGTCAGGGTACTAAGAGCAGCTCTGCTGAGGGGCAGTGTTGGCCGTCACTGTTGCCACTCTGCATCTGTCTGTGGGCCTGGCGTCCTTGTGGCTGGTGCTGGCCCGCGGTGCCCACTCGGACGCCTGGGAGCCTCTGTGTGTGTATTGATGGCCTCACACACTTTGCAGAGCTCCTGTGTAATGCAAGGATCCCGAAGTAGGGATCTGTCCCTGAGCTGCTGGCTCTCCAGAAGGTGTCTGTTTACAGTCTGGGCAGGACCAGCACTCCGCACTCTGTGGCCCTCTGCGCTTAAGTCATGCAGCCTTGGACAAAGTTCTGAGCCTTCCAGAGTCTCAGTTTTGCTAAAGAAAAGTACATTAGGTGCTTTTTGTTGTTGTTGTTGTTGTTGTTTTAAGACAGGGTCTCACCATATAGGCTGGCCTTGAATGCACTATGGAGCTCAAGCTGGCCTTGAACTCTGAGCAGGCAGTCCTCCTGCCTCGGCCTCCCAAATGCTGGAATTGTGGGCGGCAGTGCCCCACAGGGCAGGGCAGTGTTCTTGCGTTGCCTCTTGGCACAGCTGGGCACTGAAGGACTGCAATGCTTTTTCTGCAGCCCAGGTGTCTCTCAATGACGAGCACACGTCCCCTCTCCTGCCAGAAGAGCATTTGTGGGAACCATGGCCATGGCGTCCACGCCGAACCCCGTGACCTTCCGCGAGTTCTGCCCACTGTACCATCTCCTCAACGCCATCCCGGCCAAGGTGCAGAAGGGCTTCCGCTCCCTGGTGGTCTACCTCACGGCGCTGGACACCAACGGGGACTATATCGCTGTGGGCAGCAGCATTGGCATGCTCTACTTGTACTGCCGCCACCTGGGCCACATGCGCAAGTACAACTTCGAGGTGAGTCTGGGGGCTCCCCGGGAGGTCCCTGACGTCCCATCTCGGCTGTGCTCAGTGACCAGCTGTCACCAGGTGCGTGTGACAGAAAGCGCTATGTATTTCAGTTCTTGTTCCTGTCTCCTTAAATTTCACATCATTTATAAAGAGTATTTTAGTGTTTAACACCTGCTAGAAACCTTCGGAAGAGTTGTTTGTTTCCTAAGTGCTTTGTTTCTCCATGCGCCTTCACTGACTTGAGTGATCTCTAGCAAGACTCATGGAATTCGTACGCAGAGAGGATCTGCAGTGGCCTGGTCAGGCACTCCTCGAACGGGGCGACTGAGGCTGGAGCCCCCGGCCCCACTCCTGCTGGGGTCCAGTCTGTGTGGCTGGCAGCAAAGCTTGGTCAGATCTGTAGTGCAGTGACCGAGCGGGCACCTGTAGCGGGCTCCGAGGAAGCTGCGTCAGCCACTGCCCTGTGGTCTTGTGGGGCTCTCTTCTGCCTGTGGACAGAGGGCTTTTGCTTGAGAACACAAGACACCTGTGTTTTAGACCACATTTGTTAAATTAAAGTTTTGAGTTTCTGAAATTTCCTTTCTTTTCCTTCTGTTTCCTTTTGTAGTGCTGGGACCAATTCCAGGGCCTTATAGTGGGCTTGGCAAGTGCTATGCCACAGGGAATATCCTCATCCCTTTTCATTCTTTGTCTTTTTCCTTTTTTTTTTTATCGGTACCAGGGATCGAACTCACGACTGCCTGCTTGCAAGGCAGGTGCTTATGCCGCTGAGCTAAATCCCCATCCCCTCATTCTTCATTTTGAGAGGGGGCATCACTAAACTTAGGCTGGCCTTGAAGGTGTCATCTTTCTACTACAGGCTCTCAAGTACATGGGATTGCAGGCATAGTCAATTGGCTTTAAAGTTAGTTTTTCTTGCCAGATGTGATGGTGCATATCTAATCCCAGCCCTTGGGAGGCTGAGGCAGGAGGATTGCCCCAAGCCTGGAATACATAGTAAGATTGTGCACCTCAGCCCCCCAAATTAAAACTGTTGCTGTTCCTTTTTTTAAAGATTTTTGTGGTTTGCCTGATCACATTTCCCAGATACTTCAGGTCATTACTTAATCTTTATGCTTTAGTTATAAATTTAATAGTGCTGAACTCTATGAAATACTTCAATTAACAAGGAAGATTTATGAATCCAACAGTGAACCCCAACAGTATAAATAAAAGAAATCCATGCTCAGCAATGTAATCAATCTGACAAAGGCAAGGGAAATGTCTGCAATAGCTAGAGAAAAACACTATGCCCCGAAGGGCCGAGGGTCTGACGAATGCCAGGTTCTCCTCAGAGACCACAGCCCCGAAGGCAGCAGCTAGTTTGGAGCCTGTCATCCAGCCAGGGTTCTGTGCTCCCCAGGTCTGGAAAGGAGACCTGGCTGGTGCACCCTCAGGCACGAGGAGCCACTCTGGGGTTCTTGCCGGGTGGGGTTGGGGGTCAGTGGTCCAGTTCTGGTCTCAGTCTCCAGTACCACACAAAAGGGGAAAACCAACCACACAGTGAAATGGCCGTGAAACAAACCAAAGCATGCAGTAACACAGCGGTCGTTTGAGCCTGTACCACCAAGTGTCAGCGACACAATCCCACGGGGAGTGAAACACCTGCATTGTAATTATCATTTTTACTGTCAGTTGGCTTCATCTGGGAACTGGCACTGGGCATGATTCACACGCTTTACAGATGAAGAACCCAGGGCCGAGCATGTGGTGAGAGCTGGTCTAGTGTGCACAGGGCCTGGGTTCTGTCCCCAGCAGCGTAGCACACGCACAGTGGCACAGAGAAGACCTGTGAGGTCCCCACTGCAGGCGCCACCTGTGCAGGCTCCCTTTGGGAGGACAGGGCCCCGCTGAACCCTGTGGAGGGAGGGAATGGAAACCTAGCTCGCAGTCTGCGGAATGGCCAAAGGTGCATCTTCGGTTTACTTCTGGGCAAATGTACAATTACATGGGCAGGTGAGTTAAGATAAAATTCACCCTCGAACCCAAGCATCGAGTGGCTGGAAGCAAGTTTTAAAAGAAAGTTACATTCCTGGAGAAAAAAGCAGGCTTTTTATGTGCTAAATATAGTGTGGTACGTGTTCTCCTTTGGAAGCCTTTCTCCCCACAGAAGGTAGTGGGAGAGGGCAGATGGAAGCATAAGACATTCTTCCTGCCTGCTGCCAAAAGCATGGAGAAAATGTGGCAGGGAGCCGATAACAAGGACAAAAATATGATAAACTTGTGAAATGCAGGGGCGAGACATGAGTGGAAAACATAATCCAGGAGATAACTTGACCTGGGGGCTTTTTGTTTTGTTTTGAGACAGAGTCTTGCTACGCATTCCAGGCTGACCTTGAACTTACAGAGGTCTTTCTGCCTCAGCCTCCCTGGTGCTGGGGCGACAGGTGTGCGCTCCCACATCCCCAGGCTAAGTTCCTAGTTTTCTGTTATGAATAACTGTACAACATCTCTTTCTTTAGCCTTCAGCCGTTGCTGATATTTCTTGGCTCTGCCTTCAGGCCGGCCATCCATCTCTGGTGGATGCCACAGCGGGCCCCAGCCCTGGTCCTCACACCCACTTCTCAGCTGCGCCCCCTGCTGTGTCCTCCTGTGACTGTGCACTGTTGCCCCGGGTGCCCAGAGCTTCCAGCCTAATGGGAGAGCCAGGAATGCGGGGTATGCAGAGTGCTGGGACGAGCCGTGCGTCTAAGGGAAGAGGACAGTGCAGAGGAGACCGCCTCGCTGCAGTCCCCATCAAGCTCTGCCTGACGTACGGCCCTGCTATCCTTGCTGCTCTCTGCAGCTGCGCTGGGCGCCATGGTCCTGCTGCGGCTGCCTCATGTCATGAGCCGCTCTGGGCATTTCTCCTCGTGGTCATCCTGACTACAGGGCGGAGCCGCGGTGCTGTGCATGAGTGTGCAGAGTCTGCCCCGCTCAAGGCACAGAGTGGCAGCAGAAGGCCAAGCGGTACCAGTGGGTGGCTGTGGTTGGACTGGGCACTGGGTCCTCTGAGGGCTGCTCGCCATGGCACCCACTTCAGGCAGAGGACTCCTGGCGGAGGGAGGAGAGGTCGAGCCTGCAGCACTCAGGAGAGTCCTGCTTCAGAGGGCCACAGGGTTTCCTTGGGTCACACCCAGGGGTTTCGTTCTTTTTTTTTTTGTCTTTTTCCTTTTTATCGGTACCGGGGATCGAACTCACGACTACCTGCTTGCAAGGCAGGCGCTTATGCCGCTGAGCTAAACCCCCAGCCCCCAGGGGTTTCATTCTTAGATGGGGCTTGTATTCCCCAGGCTGGTCTTACACCTATGGGCCCATAGCATCCCCCTGGTGCATAACGCCTTGCCTACCTAACTAGTACAGTTTTAGAATTTTTAAAAATTTCATTTGTACCTGCTTGCGGTTCCTGTAGCCCACAATGGTCCTGGGACATGCTTCCTGGTTCACACCACAGCTCTTAGCTCGTATTACAGCCCACAGTGTTTACATCCACCAGAGCTATTAGGTCCCTGCACACGGCCCATCTTTATTTTTCCTGTCTCCCCTTCCCCTCCTCCTCCCACCTCGCCCTCGTTCCCTTGGACCACCCGAGAGATCCGCTCCCCTGTCCCTTTCTGTTCATCTTTTATCATTTTCTTTGTTTCTGCGTTGCCTCACTCAAATGAGCAGCCACGTACGGCACTTCAGCTTGTGTGTCTGGTGTATTTCATGCCACAGTACATTTTCCAGGTGTACCCATTTTTCCCACCAATGTCTCAAATCTGCCGTTCTTTACAGCCGAGTAGTATTCTATGGTACAGATGCCACATCCTTTCTATTCAGCCGTCTGGCCACGGGTATGCAGGCTGCTTCCAGGATTTACCTGTTACAAACTGTGCTGCTGTAGACATTGGTATGCGTGTGTTGCTGTAGTGTGATATCTTAGGTTCTCTGGGAAAGGTTCCTACCTGGGGATTGCTGAAACCCCGTGTGTTTTTAAAAGTGATATAGCAAGGGCTGGGGATATAGCTCAGTGGCGCAGCACCTGCCTGGCAAGCATGAGGTCATGAATTTGATTCTTGCTACCAAAAAAAGTGATGCAACAAGGTGTGGTGGTGCATGCCTGTAACCCCGACATCTGAGAGGCTGGGCAGGAGGGTTGCTTTGAATTTAAGGTCAGGCTGGGCTATGCAGCAAGACCCTGTTGCAAAAAAAAACCAGTGATGCCAAATGAATCTTTTCACCGTGCCAGCCAAAGATACATCTGCCGTGGGCTTGCCTAGTCCCTAGTGAGTGCCTCTCAGGTCTGGCCGGCTGAGCTGCTGTGACAGCTACACACCGCCATGCGGCAGTGCCACCATGCAGAGCCCACTGATGTCCACACGTTCCGTGCTTCATCTCACCGGTCCTGGAATTCAGCTTTCAAATATTTTTACCAGTGACTCACTAAAACGTACTTTTGGGGTTAGGCTATTGGGACCTAAAGCCAGGGCTCTGCTCATGCTATGCAAGTATCCTACTGAGCTGTGGCCCTCGACCTTTACTTTCGTTTATTTAAAATTTTGAGACAAGGTCTCAGTCAGTTATTTAGTCTTGCCCAGACCTTGCAGTCCTCCTGCTTCAGCCTCCTACATAGGTGGCATTGCAAGCTCACCCAGCTTGTCTGAAATCCCATACTTCTTGAGCATCATGTTGGCCTTTGGGTTTTTGGAGTAGGGACGCTCAGCCTGTACCCTAATATCTTGGCCAATAAATGGCGTAGCACAGCTGGGTGTGAATATAGGGGGAGAATGAAACCGTATCCCTTCCTCACTTCATAGGGCTACTTGGTCTTCCCTTTAAAGGTGTAGAATGGTGGATGCGGCTCAGTGTGGAGGAAGAGAGAGAAGGGAACTACCCAGCCACTGCAGCTGAGGCCTGCTGGGCCCTCTGCTGTAGGAGACCCTGCCAGCTGCAGACCAGGCCTCACAGTTCCCCTAGCAGTGACCTGCTGCACTTTGCCGATTCCA